AGTCAGCCTTACTCAGCTCTAAGCATGCCAACCAAGATGTGTCAGATGGCGCGTTTTCAAAAGCGTTCTGAGCTGTTTCTGTCTAGACAAAGGTTTTCTTCTTCAAAGCTCCTGAAGTTATCATGGTCATCTGCAGAAATGGGGAACAAGCCCGCGTGTCATGCTGGGAATAACATTTGATGGAAATGTGGGCTGAGGGATGGAATCCTTCCCTGCAGAGTGATCGCTAGAAAGGCAGGCTCTCTCCCTAGGCCCTCTCCGCCATTGCCAACCCTTTCATCCCATCAAGCGGACCGACCGGCTGCTGGGAGAGGGCAGAGGGCCTCAAGTTGCTTTATATTTTCTTTATTAGCCCATGAAACCATAGAACTATTTCCAGCTCTTTGATTATTATCGCTGAGTTACGTGTGTGTTTGATGCCCAGGCTGTCTGTCTGGGTGGTGAGATTGGTTTTTAATCCTTTCGTAGTTATTTAGCTGCGTCCTTTTGTGGAAACTTGTCAGCGGCCTTTTCATGTTGGGTTACTCGCTGTCATTAACCATGGCCAGAATGAAACCACAGATGCAGCAGGAGGTGCAGCCAGACGAGAAAACTCTCCCAACTGGTTTTTGCCCACAGAGCAAGCCTTGAAGGGGCCACTCCTGAAGACATGTCTCATTTCCCTGACAGTGGAAACCTCTGGGGAAGGAATCCTATCTCAGAGTCACAGGATCAGAAAGCACCTTGGGAAAATACCTGGTTTAACCCTGGGGGTGTTAGTGAAATGAAGGATTAAACCACAGAGGGCAGGAGTGTATCTTTTCTCTCTTAAAACACCTCTAGCCCAAACCGGTTTGGCTCAGTGGTAGAGCGTCGGTCTGCGGACTGAAAGATGCCAGGTCCGATTCCGGTCAAAGGCATGTACATTGGTTGCGGGCATATCCCCGGTAGGGGGTGTGCAAGAGGCAACTGGTTGATGTTTCTCTCTCATCGATGTTTCTAGCTCTCTATCTCCCTTCCTCTCTGTAAAAAATCAATAAAATATATTAGAAAAACAAACAAACAAAAAAAAAAACACCTCTAATGGCAGAAATTTCCCATTAGCTAACATTTTCTGAGGTCTGACGGGAAGATAGGCTGATCCTTAAGGGTACAACTCTCACCTGATCTTCACAACATTCCTATGAGACAGGTATTATATATCACTTCTATTTTAAAAATGAGGAGACTGAAGCTTAGAGAGGCGAAGCAGCTTATCACACAGGTGGTAGCAAATGGTGCCTGGTTGGTTTTCATCCATCCATCTATCTATCTATCATCTATCCATCCATTCATCAATCAGCAAGTACTTACTGACTGCCTACATGGAGCTTGACATTAGGAAGAGTCAATAAACAAGCATAAATATGTGTTTCAGTTGGTGATCATGGCTAAGAAAAATAAAACCAGAACTTCTGCAATTCAATTACTTTTCACCTTTATTTTCAATTACCATCTCTTCTTTCACTGTTCTGAAGTGGCTCTTTGTAGATTCAAATGACTACATTAACTTTCAATCCTAACAGTGTATTTGAAGACTTATAGCTCAATACCCACCTAGGAAAAACCAAAACAAACACAACGAGGGACAAGTAGAACAAGGTACATTTGGGCCCCTGGCTATTTAGGGGACCCCCTCCACCCCCAACACCCATTTAGATGCACAGGAATCAAGGTTGATTTGGAACGTGAGAACACTTCCTGATATAATTCTGGTCTGACACCTGAGGGAGAGGAAGTGTTCTTACAGAAGGCCCATGGTTTCAGCTATACCTTGGACAAAGTAGAAGGGACCTGGATTCCAGTCCTGACCTCAGCACTTCCTGGATGTGTTTCCTTGGTCAAGTGACGTGACTTCTCTGAACTTATTTCTTCATCTGTAGAATTAAGGGTAGTAACACCTATTCCATCTCACAGGCTTACGGTAAAGGTGAAATGAGGCCACATAGGTATAAGATCTCTATAAACTAGAAAGTTCTATCATCACTATTAACCCATGTGCAAAGCAATTCTCTAATGGAAGACAGGGATTAGATCACTGGTCATTGTGATTGAAGTCCATCTCCAGTCCTTCTCCCCTCCCTGGAGGCCAGGGGTGGGGCTGAATGTTCCAACCTTCTAATCACAAGGTTGGTTCTCTGGGCAACCAGCCCTCATACTTAGGGACTTTCCAAAAATCACCTCATTAGCATAAACTGGTGTAGTTGAAAGGGACTTGCTATGAATAATGGGACACTTTTATTCCTCTTACCACTTAGGAAATTCCAAGCGTTTTAGAAACTGTGCCAGAAACAGGATAAAGACCAAATATATTACTAATTATATAATCACAATGGACACTACCCTGCAAAACTGCTATCAAGAAATCAACCTTGGCACACCACTGCTGACCCATTTATAGATTCTATTCTAATTTCACCACCTGCCCCAACAAGGTCCGTTTTCCCCTTTTGGTCCAGGACACTATCCAGCATATATATTGCCTTCAGTTGTCATGTGCTTTCAGACTCTGGGACAATTTGTCAGCCTTTCCCTTTCCTGGACAGTTTTCATTCTGCAGAAGGGCCCTCAACGTGGGCCCCTCTGCTATTTGCTCATGACCAGACAGGAACATCTCAGAGAGCCTTCCAGAGACATGGCTCGTTCTACCATGGGTCATGGTAACGGGGATCACCTAGTGCTTGGCATTTTGTTCCTTTACTACCTCTCTTCAAGGCAGAACTTGAGTCACCACGGACTTCTCTGTAACATGCTCCCTAATAGCATTATCTTCTTGGATCACCGGTATTTCAGATGTTAGTTTTAGAGCAAGAGCTTTTAAAGATCAGAATCTAGCATAATGACTTGGCATGCTCCAAGGTGCCTGATGGATAATTAACAGCATCTTCATAACTCAACTGATCAAGATGGGCACAAGTCATGCTCTCTGGACAACATGAAAATCCCATATATTATAGTCAAGCATTGGAGCAGAAGCAAAGAGAGTAAGAACTGTAAGTAAAAAAGGACAAAATAGGCTGTGTGAGTTTTGCAAAGGGTTGTGAATGATTCTGCAACATCAGTGAAGCAATTGTCAGAAGTAGGAGAAAAACCTGATAGTGAACATGAAGAAAAAAATTAAGTGTTAAGAAGAAAAAATAGGAAAAGTTAAAAAAACATGTTACCTTGTACTCAAGTTTTCAAAGGTTATATGGAGATTAAAGTGGGAGTGTCTTAAGATCTGCAAGATTTTGTTGAATATTTAAACCTTCACTTCTTTGTTGCTCCAGAAAATAGTCACAAAATTAGTGTTCATATTCTGTCTGTCTCATGAGCTCTTTTCCTAACTACATTCAGACAATAGGAATACCACAGCCCATCATCAGTGTGAATGTCCGTGCTTTTGAGAAAATTAAGTATAAACTGGCTGACTTAAGAGGCCTTATAAAGGGACCAAAATGTGCACAGTATAAAGACCATTCTTCATGCTTGAAAGAACCAGACAGGGGCTTATCAAAGGGCGTTCCTAGCTATGTGCACATGTACAAGCATGGAGTATTTTTATTCCGGGCAATAAAAACAGCTGGCTACTTCAGCTCCATTGGAACATTTATTTTAAAGTGACTTTTGCCTCAAATGGGAGAGTAACATCTTTAGAACAAGGGAAACAATGTTTATACCTTTCTTTTTAAACTCAAAATACTAACCATTACTTTCCGTGGTCATTAATAGGACCAACTTCACTGGAAATGCTACATAGAGGAAAAGCTAATAAAGCAGAAATGCCATTACATAAACTATTCTCTGTATTTCTCCTCTCCTGCTCCCTTCTCTGAAGAGTAATTTTTTTCTACCCCCACAATTGTCTCTTTTTTTAGAGAGAGGAAGGGAGAGGGATAGAAATATCAATGATGAGAGAAAATCATTGATTGGCTGCCTCCTGCATGCCCCGCCCCCTACAGGGAATCAAGCCCACAACCTGGGCATATGCCCTGATCAGGAATTGAACTTGTGACCTTTTGATTGATGGGTTGACTCACAACTACTGAGCCATACCAAGAATTTTAAAGTGTCTAAAAAAACTAAATGTATCTAAGTTAATCTGCAGCAGTTCTTGCACTGACATCAGTTTAGTTTTGGGAGGAAACCTTGCTTTGAATTAGTCTCAAATGACATACCATTAGGCAAGCCCAGTTACAGGAAGTCTACACCGACACTCCAACGTTGCCTCATCTCCAGAGAATCTAGCACCTGCCAAGAGCCTGTTTCTCAACTTTAAATTGAATGCCCTCCAGCATTCACAGGTAACTTGTACCCTCAAGTCTTCTGTGTATAGCTACTGGTCCAATTTGAAGGCCTAAGCAACCTATAATTATTGTGTTGATTCCTAACTTATATTTATCGATAACTTTCAAGTCCCACCATAAAAAACATTTGAAGTTATTGAGTGCTCCGAGTAAAGACATGCTATGTTATTTCATAGCATATATTTTATAGAGGAAGCCTGCTTTTCTCCAGCCTTCCAAATAGCATCTAGAAGACAGTCCAATGGGGGTGGGAGGTTGAGGTTGGGGGTGGGGAAGAGTTATTTTAAGTTGCGGGATGAGCTGTAAGAATATTTTTTAGGGTGAGTCTCTGAAAGCATCCTGGGAGACAATCAGAAAACATCAACATTGACCAAAGTGACACAAGAACAAATACTAACTGTCCTAAGCTATAAAATATTAAACACAAAATATAAACAACATATTACAACTTTATTAGATTTTTCTCTCTACTGGCTATTTGGAGCCTTAGTAACCTACTTTAACATCTTGAAGGTGTCAGTACAGAACATGAAATCTGATTAGGTGGCACAAAACTAGTCAACTTGTTAACACCGAGCAATCAGTATCACAGATGGGGCCGTTTCCTGCTTTTATAATGATTCTGTCACCCATGTAAAGGTATTGCTGTTGTAGTGCAAGTTATTATTGAAGAAAGATTTGCCAGACCAGGCGTAATTAATGACAGATACCAGCCAATGCCATTTTGCAGGCTAAGTGAAAACTCTGACTTATATTTAGAATGAGAGAGGTAGCAAGTCTATGAAAAATTACTTTTTCTTTTGGGTCCCTATTCCTACACTGCCACACATATTCCTCTTCAATGTGTCCCATCATCCAACCATCTAACATCCTGACATGACTCCTGGATACTCTCCTAGTAAAAGTGGTGTTAGGATTTTGCTCAGCAAGAGGAAGGAGGTAGATGGTGGATAAATGGACAAAGAGACAAAAGCAGGGCAGAAAGGAACATTCTAAAACCTTCTCATTTAACAGAATGTGCTCCATGACTCCTCTCAGGATGTAGAGAGAACTTGGTGTAAAGAAGTTCATCTGATGATTAAAGATTAGTATGACTGAGTAAGGTGGTTTCTTGAACTATCCTCATCCCCTATTAGGTTTCCCTAAAACTCTGTGGACAACCAGGGAGGAAGCATATGCATCCCTTTCCAAATGGGGACCATGTGACTCCTCCCAGAAGGTGATTTTATAACACTGGCTCCTGAGGCATCAGCCTCCCCATCAGCCACTTGCAGTGGGAGGTTACAGCTACACACTTTGGAACCTGACAGGTCTCTGAGTTCTGTTATCTGAAGAGCATTCTGGTCCACTTCCACTTCAGTAAGGGTCATTGGAGTCCATGGCCACAGTCAGGGTTCTACCCTTTGATAACAGCAATGGGTCTAAGTTTAATGGCCTTCTTGCTGATTCCAGCATCATGGCAGGTGTTCACCACATCCGTCACGTTCTTATAGGACTCAGGAGCCTGCAGGAGTGAAGTTCAACGTGGTAAAACTTAAATTTCACTTGTAATTAAAGAAACGTACATTAAAACAACACTGAGACTTTCCCTCCTATCAAATAAGCAAAGATTAAAAGATTAAGTTCGTGTTGGTAAGGAGGTAGTAAAATAAACACTCTCATCTTGTTTTATATTTTTCAGAAATTTCCCTAAAGAACATGTATCACTTGATTAAGAAAATAGCAAACACAACTGAATGAAACATGCACACTAATACCCAACTGGAATGAAATGCACCAAACCACCCTGTTACTGGTAAATACCTTTAGATGGTGGAATTATTGGGAGTTTGTCAAAATTCCTGGGATTAACATGTATTATCTTTGCAAGAAAGGGAAGTTATAAAATTCACATATGTAACTAACACCATGTGTGTATGCGTATGTGTATATATGCACACACGCACACACACATTCTGTGGATTTCTAGCAAGACTTCCTTTCTTCCTACCCACACTCATTGTTTTGCCATCATTAGAATGAATCTCATCACATACACCCTTTATCTCCTCCATTCACGTCAACACAGAAGCTTGGGTCTCCCAAACATATTCCCATACAGCTCTGTACACAGCTCCATATACAACCCCTTCTGGCCCATCTTCGTTCTCTTCCAATTTCTGAGATTTCCCCCGGTGGCGCCTGCAACTCCTTCCATTGAGTTAAGTGCAAAATCCTTTCCCTCTTCCCTTTTTAAACATTCCCTTCACTTTTCGTTCTTGCTGAATCATGGATTTCCCCTGAGGATGTTACTTCTGCTCCAACTTTCTGAAATGGAAACTGTTTTCTTTCTCAAACTAAGTCATGCATTTAGGCTGAGGAGTGGGACAGATGTTCTTGTTCTTCATGGTTCTTTACAGACCATTCTCCCTTCTTCCCCCTACACTCTACCAGTTTTGAATCTTTCAGTCAGCATTTATTACTATCTACTACCTCTTCTTGCTGCAATTATCTGTTAGCCTCAATCACTCCCCATCATTCCGTGAAGATTTCTAGCTCCTTGCTCACTGTCACTCTCTTCTGCTGTAATTCTGAGTGATTTCAGTATGGAGGAAGAGGGTCCTTTCAGTACCTTGGCTTCTTAGTTCATTGACTTCTCCTTCAATGCTTACCCTGGCCATTCTCTCCCTGGGTCACACCCCAGAATTTATTGCCAATGATCACAAGTCCTTCATTATCTTATTCCAAGGTGATAACAGCCTAGGTTTCCAGCTCACTCCCCATCATGTTCCATCTCCGATAATCCTGCAACACTCCATGAGACCTCCTACAATCTCTTAGCAACACCCTCAACCATCTTGCTTCATTTTCACTGTGCTACACTTGCAACCTGATTACAAAGGTAACCCAACTTTGCCCAGCCAGTGTGGCTCAGTGGTTGAGCATTGACCCATGAACTAGGAGGTCATGGTTCGAATCTGGCATATGCCCAGGTATGGGCTCGATTCCCGGTGTGGGCCGTGCAGAAGGCAGATATCAATGTTTCTATCTGTCCTTCTCCCTTTCTCTTTCCAAAATAAAAAATAAACATATAAAAGGTAACCCAACCTCTACTTCATGCCTGCACTTCTACATCTGAATGTACTTGATAACCCCCACAAATGAATTTAGCTCTAGTGTATCCTTAGTGCTGTCCTGGCAATTACCTAAAATTTCACTAGACTTAAAATTACTTAAAATTTTGCTCATTCTGTCTTTTAGGTAATTATTTCATACTTTCTCCTTTGTCCTCACTCTTAGCTGCTGGCCCTATCTCCTATTACTCTGGAAAACTGTTGTTTCTTAAACATCTAAGCATAATCTCACTTGGATTTTTGCACCTGCTGTTCTCTATGCCTGTACAGCTTACCCTTAGATACCCACATAGCCTGTTCCTCACTCTCTTCATCTCTTCATTCAAGCATCACCTTTATACCCTATTTAAACTGCACCCACTCCCAATCTCTCCGGATCCTTCCCATTTTTACTTTGTAGCACTTATTACCTAATGCACTATTGGTTTTACTATGTTGGAAAGTTTCATAAGGAAGGGATTTATGTTAGTTTTGTTCATTGCAGTATTCCTAGGACTAAAAACAGTACCTAACTAAAGCAGAAGCTTAGTAAGTACTAGCTAAGTAAATGAATAAAACATATTGTAAAATATGCACGTAAAAATATACTAAGAGTAGTTATCTCTGATTGGTAGAATTCTAGATGTTTTCTTTTTTGTATTCCCTAAAATCTCTCTTTTAAAAAAAATATATTTTATTGATTTTTTACAGAAAGGGAGGGAGAGAGAGAGTTAGAAAAATCGATGAGAGAGAATGATCCACCAGCTGCCTCCTGCAAGCCTACTGGGGATGTGCCTACAACCAAGGTAAATGCCCTTGATCAGAATTGAACCCGGGACCCTTCAGTCCGAAGGCTGATGCTCTGTCCACTGAGCCAAACCGACTTTGGCTTCCCTAAAATCTCTTAATTAAACATGTGTTGTTCTTAAAATCAGAGAAAAAAATAGTTATTAAAAAGTAAGGCTTTCTCACTTACCTCTTCCATAACCAGTTTGGGCGAGGCAACACGAATTGCAATTCCCATATCTGCCAATTTGTCTAAGACGTCCTGGAAATCTAAGTTACGTCGAGATTTTGCTCGGGACAGTGCACGGCCCTAGATTGGGAAAGAAATGAACTTCACTTTATAAATTTAATTTTGTGTTTCTCATCTACTCAATATAAACACATCAAATTTTAACTGTAAACAGTATGTCTGCTATAACAAAAGCTTTGTACTATTTATGGTTTAAAACAGTTTGCCAACCACTAACAATATGGACTAGACAATTCTTTGTTGTGGGGGCTGTCCAGTACATTGTAGGATGTTTACCAACATCCTTGACCTCCACCCATTGGCATCAGATGCCAATAGCAAAACTCCCCCCGCCCCAAGTGTGACAATAAAAAATACGCCAGATGATGCTGTGTGTGTGACATGTCACACTGGTTTTAATCACTGGGTTAAAATTAGGAGTTGGGAGGCAGCTGGAAATGAAAAAGGATCAGAGAAAAGAATAGGATTAAAACATATATGTGACAGTTTGTGTGCTATAAGAAGGTATTCTAGAGAGCTTCTATTTTCTACTACAGCACTAGCTAAGCATGCTAATGGCTTAGCTCAGGGCTTGGCAAACTGGTTTGCGAGCCAAATCTGGCCTACCACAGCTGTCTGTGTAAATAAAATTTTACTGGAACAGAGCAATGCCCATTGGTTTATGTATATAGTCTATGGTTGCTTTTCCATTACAGTGGCACAATGGAACACTGCCACAGAGACCACATAGCCCCCAAAGCCTGAAATATTTAATCTGTTGCTTTACAGAAAAAGTTTACCAATGTCTTGCTTAGAAGAGGCAATATGTTGGTATAGTTATGCAGTCTACCCAAAGGCTCTGATTTGCAATAGGGCATATTCCACAAATCTTGATTGGACCTATCCAGTAAGGGGCAAATTATGCAAATGACTAGGTCCGGTGAATGAGATAACTTGTGAGGTAAACCTGCATCAGTTAAAGTTGTGCCAGTTAGGCTAGTGTCACTGAGGCCTGGACTTTGTGGACTTGCAGAAATCAGAAACAGGTGCTGGCCTGACAATCACTGTGCTAGTAGAGATAATAGATGACTTCGGTCAGTTCACCAGACAGTATATATTAGGGGAATAAATTCAGATAGAAGACAAGACCCAAACCTCAACTTTGTCAATGCTCAATCAAGTACATTTACCTGTTAAAATTCAAAACAATGACTAAACAGAAGAGAGCATTTCTAAGTAAGTTTTTATTTTCCTTACCGCTCCATGGCAGGTTGTCCCAAAGGTCTCAGTCATGCCCTGCTCAGTGCCAGTAAGAACGTAACTACAGGTTCCCATGGTGCCACCAATGAGCACTGGTTGTCCAGTGAGCTGAGGATGCACACAGATCAAACATGTTAAAATTCAGAAAGCATGAGCTTTTTATGCTTGAGATTTAAAATGCCTCTTGTATTTGAGGATTGTGGGAAAAACCTGAGCTTCTAACTGCATTTCTCTCACAACTATATTGACCTTATTTTGATTATTTGATAATAGAGAGGGAAGGGAAGAAGGGAATAAACCTGGGAGGACTGGTAAGGCAGTAGAAGGCAGACTGAATGCAAAAGCAAAGCATTCAGGGAAAGGTCATTAGGAGGAACCATCCTAAGTGAGGCACCTGGCTCTCCGGGCTTCGGTTTTGTCATCTGTGAAATGGGAGTAGGTTAAGGTCTTTCTAACTCCATCACAGTCAGACACCAAAAAAATAAAATGAACAAAACAGATTGAGTTTAATCTTAATCCTGTCTTCCAATCATTCAAAATCCTCAAAAGATATAATCCCGAAGTATAGATGATGGGGAGAGTTTGCTTCAGATATTAGAAATCTCTGTTTTCATGGATGACAGATTTTCTTTTCATAACTGCTGTTTTCCTGTTTAAATTAACCATCTTTAAACTACCTAAGTCATGCACCCACTGCCGAAACCACAAATGGCTTAGCACTTACTTGGTAATCGACAGCAATGAGGGGATGGTGAGGCGGGAAAGCTCGGGTGGATCCCTTCCTGTGCACTAACAGGGTCCGCTCCTTTCCATCCACCACATGCTGCTCCACTTTGGCGATATTGTGAGAAACATCGTAGATGACGTGTAGGTCCAAGTCATCAGGGGTTGTGTTGAATACCTTGGCAAAAGCCTAAAAGAAAAAGCTTAAGTTAAAAGCAGCCGGAACCAGCTCTTCAAAATTCATCTTACTGATCCCAGCTAGCCTGTTCCTGAAGGGAGCGAGGGATTTAAGAGTTCAAAAAGAGTAGTATTATTGTCATGTAAAGGTGAAAACTGTCTTTTAGATCACCTAGGAATTTCATTCCATCAATTCTAAGTTTGGGTGAAAAGCTCCTTGAGTTGAGACCGGTTTGGCTCAATGGATAGAGCGTCGGCTTGGGGACTGAAGGGACCCGGGTTCGTTTCTGGTCAAGGGCATGTACCTTGATTGCGGGCATATCCCCAGTGGGGGGTGTGCAAGAGGCAGCTGATCGATGACTCTCTCACATTGATGTTTCTAGCTTTCTATCTCTCTCCCTTCCTCTCTGTACAAAATCAATAAAATATATTAAAAAAAGAAAAAGAAAAAGAAAAGCTCCTTGACTACTCTTGAATTTCTCCCCTCCCCCCTCAGAACGGATTCTTCCTCAGCCTTCGGAATTGTAGTGAATAGTGCTTCTAGCCTCTCCGGTGCTCAAGGAAAATTCCAGGAATAACGTTGGCTTCTTTCTTCCCTCATTCCCCACTGATGGTCTGCTTATTTATTTTAAGGAGATACCAAAAGCTTACAGTGTCAATATTTTAAATATATATATTATATAAATTTCCAAACCAAATTTTACAGGCTCTGATTTGACTACAGTGTTTCAAAGCACTTAACCTCATCATGAATAAGTTGGGACAGAAGAGCAACTTCAAGTACCTGACGGGTTAAGAAGGTCATGGAAGAGCGATTGACCCAGGCATAGTTCCCAGCGGCTGCCATTCCCTTCAGGTAGTCCTGACCCTCTGGAGAAGCGATCCGAGCACAAGCCAACTGACGGTCATTGACTATAATCTTGTCTCTCTTCATGGCCTTTTCCATAGCAACCAGGGCATCTGAAATAAGAGAGTAGCAAGTCCAAACTAACCAGCTTTCTCTAAAAATTCATATTTATTACAGAAAGGAAGGCTACATTCAAACCCATTCTATAAAAAAAAAAAAAAAAGAAAATGCAAATTTCCCTTTTAAGTGTTTCTGAGTTTATCTATTGACTTGGTCAAGATATATTATTGAGACTATTTTCTATCATAACTGTGACACAAGCTAAGTGGGCTACAAAGACAACATTTGCTCTCTAGGGACTTGCAAGGGAAATGAGGTGTGTACATGCACAGCAACAACATGTACTAGTTACTCCTGTACTTGGATGTAGATAACTAAGAACAGAAGTAATAAACATATTTTATATTATCATGGTTTTTAAAAATAATTTCCAGTGACTTATAGTGCAAAAGAACTGGATAAAAGTTGCCAGACCTGGAGGAAATCAAATCCATGACAAGTGTAGAGAAGTACTCAGCAGAAAGTTAAGAAATACTAGAAAGTGCTCCATATATTTGCTACATGAACTATTCTAAGGGGTTAGGCTGGCACAAATAATTAAATTCTCATAGGATGAAATGTACATATAAGAATGAAGTATAATATGCAATTTAAAGTTCATAATAATTTCCATGTCTCTATAAATTTTCATATATTCATAAATCTTTTCAAACATCCTACAATTATTCAGAGTGATCTTCCTACTATTTCCCTGCCTCCTACTTTTGTTCATGTTGCCTTTTCGTCATGAGCATCCTTTGTATGTGACTGTCCAAATTGCAAATATTATATGGCCATGGAGCCTCTTCTGAAATATTGGCATGTTTTTCTCTTCTATAGTATTTAATCAATCACTACCTTCTGCCTTTACTCTTTCTTTGTAATGAACATCACATCTCTCCTTGCCTATTCCATCACTGAATCCACTGTACCTAATCAGTACGTAAATTTAAGACATATTTGTTAAATGAAAGTCTACAACATAAACTCCACATTTAAGGTCCTTCTTGCTCTTTCTCGATCAGATAATAATTTTAAGAGGACACCAAAATAACTGGAGCCAATATTTACTAAGTACTAAGCATCAGACACTGATATAAATAATTTCATTTAGTCTCCTATAAAAACACCATATGAAAGAATTATTATTCTCCCCCTGCCCCCCCCCTTTTTTTTAGACAAGGAAGTTAAGGCCTAGTGAAATTAATTTGTTCAAGGTCTAGTTAGAAAAACCAGGGTAAAAAGTATAGCTCTAGAGCTTTCTTTCTTGAACCTCTATATAGTTCCCCATAAAATGTACATTTGGGTCCAGCCCAGCCTGTGTTGCTCAGTGGCTGAACGTCAACCTATGAACCAGAAGATCACAATTCGATTCCCAGCCAGGGCCCATGCCCGGGTTGTGGGCTAGGTTCCCAGCAGGGGACATGCAGATCAATGATTCTCTCATCACTGATGTTTCTCTCTCTCTCTCCCCTCCCCCTTTCTCTCTGAAATCATGAAAATATATTTTTAAAAAGAAAAAAACTAGGTCCAGAATATACCTGTGGCTACTTGGTGGCCCAAGCCTCTGCTTCCACTGTGGATCATCACGCACACCTGTCCTTTATGGTCGATGCCCATCTTCTTAGCAGCATACTCATTGAAAATCTCATCTACGACTTGGATTTCTGCATAGTGGTTACCTGCTCCCAGGGTCCCCAACTGCAAATACAAGAATGGTAAAATAGCTTCTAATCTGATAGAAAAATCCATTTAAAAGTAAATAGGTCAAAAACAATCAATAGCAAAACAACAATTACACAAATAGTGTTTTATGTAACAAAAATATCTCTAAGCCTTTGAAATGCTTCACTCATTTTAAGCAATAGTTTACACAACAGAGATAAGGCAGAGAAGCTCCTGAAGTTTACTGTATTATTATCTGCTTGAGGCACACATATATCAAAAGCTTCATAAACCAGCCGAAACCGGTTTGGCTCAGTGCTAGAGCATCGGTCTGCGGACTGAAAGGTCCCAGGTTCGATTCCGGTCAAGGGCATGTACATTGGTTGCAGGCACATCCCCAGTAGGGGGGTATGCAAGAGGCAGCGGTCGATGTTTCTCTCTCATCGACATTTCTAGCTCTTTCTCTCTCTCCCTTCCTCTCCGTAAAAATCAATAAAATATATATTTTTTAAAAAAGCTTCATAAACCAAAACCCATACCATTATGTGGTTCAAAAGACATTTTAAACATTATGGAAAGAAGGGTCAAATTTGGAGATGAACAACTATGAGTTCACTGACATCATTATCTATCATTGAAAGACTATGTCTCTTAACTGGAGTTAATAGATGATTTAAGAAATCAGAGTATGGCAGTGCTTAAAGAGTTTTTAGAAGTTGCCTAGCTTTAACTATCCCAATTTTCAGATGAGAAAATGAGACCCAAATAGGCAAAAAAGACTTGCCCAAGGTCACACTGAATTACTGGAAAAGCCATCAAAATTAGTTGTAATATCTGGTATAATCTTATCTAATGGATACCATGAATTGACAAGGCATCTTTTTTGTCTTAGATATGAGAAAACTTTCAACCAAATCTTAGATTGTCAAAGTGATTTTAGCATACATTTTAAGCCTGATCCCATTTTCCCCCACCCACTTCTAATTCATGATATCTTGTTTTCTCTTATGAACATTGGCAAACTCCTGATAACTTTTTAAAAGAATAAGAATGAAGCACAAATTTGTGCATGTTTTGATATACAATGAAAAAAATCTGGGGATGTATATTTCCTATATAGAAGAAAATTTTTTTCCACTACCAACAAAAAAATATGAAAAATATTAATAATTATTAAAAATATTAATAATTCCCCTCCAAAGTGAGGGTTACCTGAGGAAGTCCTCTTTTCTTGGCCCTCGCAGAGACCTTATTGGGGTCAGCTTGCAGCATCCTCCCATACTCCTCACAGTGCTCCTTGTCTTCAGCCCAGGCATAGCCTTCTCTCAGCGACCAGTCCACGCCCATCTCCAAGGCCTCTTCCAAGTCTCTGATTGAGTAATAAGGGGCTGGTCATGTCACAATCAAAGTAGATCAAAACCTAGGGGTGATGAAAATCTCAAAGGGTGAAGGAGAAGCTCCATTTACCAACTATCGCCTGTGTACCAGGCATTGTGCCAGATACAAAGTTTATACTCTCAGCAACTCGACAGTTTTCTGAGGAAAGCAGCTACATAAATAACTGTAAAGTAAAACAGTAAATGCTACTTCAGAGATGATTATAGCTCTTCCTTGACATTTATATAGCCCGTTATTTATGGTTTTTAAATCTTTTTACATTAGATTTGCCTCTCTGATCCTGCATTCCATGAGGTGCTAATCGAGCAGCCAAAGATTTATGACCATAATCAGATGTCACTATTTACCATTAACTTTACTACAGCTACTTGCCTTCATTAGTAATTTATGGGAAATTAGTCAAATAATACATAAAGCTATCTAAATGCCTTTAGGCGATACAGGTTTTAAGCTCATTCCTACCTTCACAGAAGTACAATGTGGCTTTACTGCACCTGCATTTAGAAACTGAGATGCACATACATTAAAACCCCCAGAAGGAAAAAGTTTTGATCTTCACCCACGGTGCACACCTCTTCCAAAACAGTGCCAGGAGGTTGCAATGGTCAATATTCCTGCCTGCTACAGCCCACTTCAAACATTATTTACCGGACAAAACTCCTATCTAAAAATTTATAAAAATGAGTAGTATTTATGTTGCAGGCATGCTTTTCTAAACGGGCTGGACCTCCTGCTTAAACGCCAATCGATTTATTACCACTTCCTGTAAAGAGGCTGAACAATCCCCATCTCCTAAGTGTCCTGAAGTGGAGATGGTTGTGAGGGTCTTACGGGCATTCTTTCTCTGACTCCATTTACCAGAACCTTGTGCGCTTACTTGGCATTCATTGGGATGACACCTTTGGATCCCACCCCAACAGGAATGTGGTCAAACATAGCCTGGGCAAGCTGCTCCTTCACAGGCTGCACATCGCTTTCATCTAAATTGGTTCTTAGCAAGCGGACACCGCAATTGATATCAAATCCGACACCACCTACAAAACAGAAAAGTCAGTCAAATATTAGGAAAATCAGGCAGTTGGGCATTGCGACTGTGGTTGCCCACTACTGATGAGGGTTTATTTTATTTTTTTTTTTTTTTTAAATATATTTTATTGATTTTGTACAGAGAGGAAGGGAGAGAGATAGAGAGCTAGAAACATCGATGAGAGAGAGTCATCGATCAGCTGCCTCTTGCACACCCCCTACTGGGGATATGCCCGCAACCAAGGTACATGCCCTTGACCGGAATCGAACCCGGGTCCCTTCAGTCCCCAAGCCGACGCTCTATCCATTGAGCCAAACCGGTCTCGGCTACTGATGAGGGTTTAAAGACAGCCATTCTTTTAAAAGTAACTTTTTTACTGTGGGCAATAAAGTGGTTCTCTGTGGGTAAAGTCTGATGATACCAAAACAATGTAAAGTGACTGACACACCTAAGGTACTCTGTGGGCCAGAGAGGCAATAATGAACATGTAGACCAGAGATTAAAATGTGGATTATGTTTCTCTTTCCTTGATCACTCTTGTTGGAAATTTATGAATTCTACTAGAGGCCCGTTGCATGAAATTCCTGCATTGAGGTGGGGGCGGGGGGAGGGGAGGGGAGGTGTCCCTCAGCCCAGCCTACACCCTCTCCAATCTGGGACCCTTGAAGGATGTCCGACTGCCTGTTTAGACCTGATCCCAGATGGACATCCCTCTCACAATCCAGGACTGCTGGCTCCCAACGGCTCGCCTGCCTGCCTTCCTGACTTCCCCTAACCGCTTCTGCCTGTCAGCCTGATCACACCCTAACTGCTCCCCTGCAGGCCTGGGTGCCCCACTTCTCTCCTCTGCCAGCCTGGTCACCCCTAACTGCCCTCCCCTGCTTGATCGCCCCTAACTGCTCTCCTTTGAAGGCCTGCTCCCTCCTAACAGCCCTCCCCTGCTGGCCATTTTGTATGTTGGAGTGATGGCCAATTTGCATATTACTCTTTTATTAGATAGGATAGAGGCCTAGTGCATGGGTTGGGGCCAGCTGCTTTGCCCTGAAGGGTGTCCCGGATCAGGATGGGGGTTCCCTTGGGGCGTGAGGTGGCCTAGGCAAGGGGCCTGTGGGTTTGCAAACTGGCCATGCCCCCAGTAACCCAAGCAGAGGTCCTGGTATCTGGGATTTATCTTCTACAATTGAAACTTTGTAGCCTAGAATGGAGCCAAGCCTTCTGCTCACTCAGTGGTAGCAGCCATTTCTGTTGGGATTGATTTACCTTCTATAATCAAAACTTTGTAGCCTTAAGTGGAGGCCTGGGCTGGCCAGGGTGTGAGCAAAGCCTGGCTTCCTCCGTGCCAGGGAAACTTAAGCCTCCCTCCTTCTCCCTCCGTGGCCTTAGCCATCTTGGGTTAATTTACATACTTGCTCCCAATTGGCTGTGGGCATGGCTTGTGGGTGTAGCAGTGATGGTTAATTTGCATATTACTCTTTTATTAGGATTGTTTTCCTTTCTTTTTTAAAAATATTTTAATTATTTTTTAATTTCTTTATTGATTAAGGTATCGCATATTTGTCCTCATCCCCCCATTCCCATCCCAAACCCCTCCCCATGCACACCCCCACTTCCCTGTTGTCTGTGACCACTGGTTAGGTTTATATGCATGCATACAAGTCCTTTGGTTGATATCCTTCCCTTATCCCCACCCTCCCCAACCTCCCCTCTGAGGTTTGATCGATGCTTCCCTGTCTCTGGGTATGTTTTTATTCATAAGTTTATTTTGTTCAATATTTCCCCTAGATGAGTGAGATATGTGATACTAGAAATACACTCATAAGAGCCGAAAATGACAACATTTACTATTGATAATATTACTCATGTCCCTCTTTTTTTCCCCCTCATTGCCCCCATCCGCCCAGTTCCCATCCTGCCCTGTCCCAGGCCTTCACCACCCTATTGTCTGTGTCCATAGCTAATGCAATATGCATATAAGTTCTTCCCCCGTTCCCACTGAGATTCATCAGTCTGTTCCCTATTTCCATGTCTCTGGTTCTATTTTATTCAGTTTATTTTGTTCATTAGATTTCTTGTTGTGTGCACTTAAAAAAAATGTGTTTTCTATGGTTCTTAGATGCATTGTAATGGCTGTATACATGCAACCATGAATGTAAATTAGAGGTCAAGGCGTTAAGTTTGTCAACTGCATTTTTCAAATCTCCTATATCCTTACCTAGTGAAAGCTGCATTACCTCAAGAAAAATAGTGCTCAATGTGGGACTCATGTATTTGTACTTTTCTTTGCCTCTGGATTGTAGCCTCACAAATTCTTGCTGCCATAATAGCTTTCCCATTTCAATTGTGTTTTTTTTTTTAAATCCAGCCTTCCTTGTTATTCTCTGCAAGGGATTTGTTTGAAACAACCATGATCACCAGTGCCAGAGGCAGAACTCTCAAGATGTAATTTATACTTCTTTTCCCCCTCAGATTCTGATGTGAATTATCTTCAGGGAAAGCACACACAGCAGGAAAGATATATACCACTGGAGGTGAATAATGATGACAATGAAAGCAAACACTGGGTACTGGCTATGTGCCTAGCATTGTTCTAAGTATTTTACACAGTTTGACTCATTTAATCCTTACAATAATGCTGCAATTTGCCCAAGAGGTAACTGTGACATAAAGAGACATACTTTGCCAGGAAAGTGTTTGTTTTGTAGCCAATGTCTGAGTAGCGCCTGATATATAGTAAGAGCCTGAAGCATTCTCAAAACTATCTGCTTTACTTGATATTTTAAGAGCTTCTGAATGTCCACAATTCTCTCAGTAAAAGAGGAAAAGAAATGATAGTGTTGGACAGGAAGCAGCCATGCTCTAGTATACTGAGGCGATGATACACTGAGAGGAGCTACCACTTGACAGCAGCATGCAGTCACCTTACCTGGGGACACCACTGCTTCAGGGTCATTCATGTCAAAGGCTGCCATATTCCCAATAGCAAACCCATAACCTGAATGGACATCAGGAAGCCCAATAGATCGCTGAAAGAGAATTAGAGAATGAAATTCAGCTTTTTTAACCTGGCACTCTGGTTGCCTGACGAGCCTGATACTAATTCTTAAAGCCTTTCCCAAATCAAGATCCTATTTTCAAAAAATATTCTCTATTGGTGAAAATTAGGTGTAAAAACTTCTAATCATGAAGTTAATGAAGTGGAGAAAAATCCTTCTTATAAAGTCTGACCATTAACTAAGGAAACCTAAACAGAAAAGCCTCAGTATACATGGTAACAGTTGGACCACAGACTACCTTTGATGTGCTATCACATTTTAAAGGCATCAAAAGATAAGTCATTGACAAGTTGTGGTCATGTTAGGTTAAAAGGAGAGAAATATCTGATTTATATAGGTCCTTAGTATTTAAGCAATCAAAGACAAATGTAATCCATTTAATGGTATGAATATTGGATACTTTCTACATCTAGGACCTAGGAAGGGATTCTGACAGGATGAGGATTTATGGAGATACCAGATACTTGTGACTTCTTCATATCCATAAGCCATGTCTTTTTATCCCTGCCTCCCCACTGCCCAACACAGAAACTGGCATAAAGACCTCAAAAAATGTCTGTAGAATGGATTTATTTTTAACATCTACCTGTAACAATGGAATCTGAATGTTAGACTGCAGTAAAGGACCATTTATACCATCCAATTTTATCTGTTACCTTAACTACTCTCTTTCTTTCTTTTTTACCTATACAAGCTAAGAACATTCATTTTACTTGTTTCCTTAAACAAAAGGAGGAGCAAGAGGCCCAGGCCTCTGTCCTTGTGATACCCTCAGCAGACAGGGAGATGCAGGGGTGAGGCCCAAGATGGCCCAGGTCAGGAAACCTGAGCAGGATGCTGGTCTGGCCCCTTGTTTGTGCAGAATGGCTTGGAGGGGGAGTGGCATCCTGGGTTTTGCGGGGAGGGGTCAGGGTCGTGTGAAGGAGAGGCCTCACTCTGTCCACAGCCTGAAGGCCAGAATGAGCATCTTGAAAACGAGGAAAAAAGACTTGTCTCTGTTGAGGCTTGAGGCTGAGCTCCAGGTTACCAGGGGCTCCATTAATTCACTCCCCTCATTTATTCCTGGGTTGGAGCCTTTTCCAGTTCCCGGCTCCTGGACTGCAACTGATCGCTCTGTATTATAACTAATTTTCTGCATCATCATTACCTTTTTAAAATCACATCCAGAATGCTATAATATCCTCTCTCTCTCTCCTCAATCCAACCCTTAAACTTCTTTCTGTGTCTTCTCCAATCATCCTCTTAAATGGGGCCAGTGAAAACTTCAATGGTAATGCATACTAATCCAGGAAAAATAATGTATAATGACAAAAAACAAAACAAAACAAAACAAACAAAAAACCAAGAACACATTAAAAACTACTTCCAAAGTTCTCAAACACTTACAGGCTATAGCCAAAGGCAACCAGAATCTGTGATATTATTCAGGCCCATTATTACTTTCCTAGAGGCCCGATGCATGCAGATTTGTGCAAGAATGGCCCTTCCTTCCCCCGGCTGCCAGCACTGCCTTCGCTCTGGCCGTAGCCGCCTTTTCGCCTTTCCACGCTGCTCAGAGGCTTAGAGCAGCTGGGGTGGTGCAGAATGCCTGTCGTTGCCATGGCAATGACACAAGCATCCTGCCCCGCTCACTTGGTGTCTGCATATGCAAATTAACCCACCATTTTTGTTGGGTTAATTCGCATACTCATTCCTGATTGGCTGGTGGGTGTCACGAAGGTATGGCCAATTAGCATGTCATTTTTTTTTTTTTTTTATTAATGTAGATGTCTCAGTGTTATTTCTAGATGTTCAAAAGTCATTGTCTAAATCAGCAGTTGCCAATCGGTGGTCTGTGAGGTCCGAAAGGTCGGTGACCACTTGTCTAAATGAGACCACTACAGTTAGGCATGGCCATTTTTCTATTCAACAAACCTTTAGACTAAGAGAAAATATGAACGATTAGAGCTCTGAACATGGACTCACATGAACAATCCCAGGCAGGGCTGCCACATTGCCAATTTGTTTCATGGCAGGCAGGAAGCCACCAACACCTGAGGACAAACATTCAAAATTAGAGGACACATCTGATTTTTAGTAAGTATATTCCTACATTTCTAGGTTGCATTACATGAAGGGAAGTGATTAGGACTACTAAAACAATAAAAAAGGACGTGTGAGATGGAAGTGTGAAGGCAGCTTCTTTAGAAGGCAGCACATGCGCAGAGAGGAAGCAAGGGCGACGAAACTAATGACAAACATCTGTCAGTGTTCTGTGCAAACTAGGGAAGGTTGTTTGCAAATGTACTGGGAAATGTAAAACATAATTATTAAACATTATGTTTCAATATAAAAAATGTATTCTTTCATAATTCACCTTATTTATCAAAAAACATCAATAATGGTTTTACTCCAAGTGACAAAGAGGGGCAATGTGGAGCTGGAAAAACATTGGATTAAGAGTCAGGGAAATGGGGCTCTAACCCCAGCTCTGACACTGGTTGTTGTCATTTTAGGCAAGTGAGCATACTCTGGCAGGAGGCAGGTGGAACTAAGTTTGCTGATCTAAAAAATAAAAGGGTTAAAATTAGATTTCAACTCTGCCATTACTATTAGAGCTTTTTACATTTATCTCATAAGCCTGCTGTAATACTGCAAGACAGGAGTAATAAAATGTCCTTTATAGATGAGATGACTAAGTTAAGTGAGGTGAAGCAGTGTACTGGTTAAGAAGACTGACTTTGGAATCAGGTACTTCTGTATGAAATCTGGCTCTGTCACCAAGAAGTTGTGCAAACTTAGACAATTAAAATGAATTAACCTCACTGAACCTTGTCTTACACATCTTTAAAATGGAAACACTATCTTCCTCTTAGAGTTCTCTAAGAATTTACATGAGATAACCTAAGTAAAGCACCTGGGAAAGTGCCTGTCACATAGTAAATGCACAATAAATGATAGTTCTTATTATTATCTAAGTTGGCTTCAAAACCAACTAGTTCCATCCTATTCCAAATGGTTCCTACAAGGCCAGGTAGCTAACAACATAAGCACAAATTCAAAACAGTTTTTTGGGTCTCATTTCAAGTCTTGGTCGTTTTCTGAAGATATTTTTGTACTTTTAAATAATGTATTATCTGAATTATTATCTGTTTCTAAGTAGCTGATGACCAATATGCCTAGGTTAGCCTGGTTCACGAGTGGATTGCTGCCCAAGTTTAAAAAGGTAAACCCAGGGAACGCAGAATTTCTTTGCATTTCTTCATGTGGGAAAGCATTAATGATAAATTGAAAAATGGTCTTGTTATGATAAAACAAAGGTCCTATTGATGGATCATTATTTTAAAAAGAAAAAAATCATGTGAAAAGGAATAGTGGTTCTTCTTATGTATAGTACGCCTGTATTATAGTTTTTACAAAATTGTGAACTTGTGTAATAGTATAATAGGAGATATTGTTGAATTTCTAACTGTTTATACATTTAAATTCATATACGTAATGTTTGTTTTATAAATTACAATCTGAATTTCTAAGAAGCATGTTGACTTTTGCAATAAAGACGCAATATGGAATGGTTCACAATTGGAAAAAAAAGAAAAGAAAAAAGATAAAAGTATTATGAATTTAAAAGAATTTGGAAAACTTATGAACCATTCCAAAAATTATAATAAAAAAAAAGTAGTATCTGAATTATATTTTTAAGGCTACAGGAAAGATATTAGTTACATGACCACATGTAAAATTCGAAAGCACTTACCGCCACCTCGGCATGCATTCCTTAATTCCTCAAACATTAATTTTTCCAGAGCATCATTTACATAGAAAATTCCTTCAACCTGGTACCAAAGAAAATGAAGAACTATGTCTGAGCACATGTACATGACATATATATCGATAGACACTGGATAGAATACAAATACTGTATGCAATATTCATTTTGCTTTACTTTTTATAAAATACTTTCACATTACCTTAAACAAGTAGAAACTTTCTATAAAAAAGTATAAGATGGCCAAAACCAGTTTGGCTCAGTGGATAGAACGTCAGCCTGCAGACTGAAAGGTCCCGGGTTCGATTCCGGACAAGGGCATGCACCTTGGTTGCGGGCACATCCCCAGTAGGGGGTGTGCAAGAGGCAGCTGATCGATGATTCTCTCTCATCGATGTTTCTAACTCTCTATTCCTCTCTCTTACTCTGTAAAAAAATCAATAAAATATATTAAAAAAAAAAAAAAAAGTATAAGATGTTCCCATCTTTAACGCAGTTGCCCCTGAAAAAATGTGGGTGTTTAAGGCAGTCATGAATCCCTCCCCAACCAAGCAGTTGAAAATCTGTAATTTTTGAAACCCCTCCAAAAAACTTAACTACAAATAATAGTCTGTTAACTGGAAGCCTTACTGATAACATGAACAGTTAACATGTATTTTGTATATGTATTAGTACTATATTTACAGTAAAGCAAGCTAGTAGTTATTGAAAAAAATCCGTGTATAAATGGACCTATGCAGTTCAGACCTGTGTTATTCATGGGTCAACTGTATATCTTAAAAATGTAGTAATTTGAAATGCTCAAAAATTATTTTATTCATTCTCCCATTCTCAAAGCCACATTTAAAATTTTAACAGGTAAAATACTTGTAAATGTGACAAGTCTTTCAATTGCTCTTATCGCCAAAAGGTCTGTGTTCTTGTGCTTCTAAAATATCAATGGGTGTTAGTGTGGTGACTGCCGGAGGGGATATAAGGGAAGGGGCAGATTAGGGTAAAGAAAGGATAAATGGTGATGGATGGATGAATGATATTGTAAATGATGTTGACTTGGGGTGGTGAACACACAATACAGTGTACAGATGATGTGCAGAATTGTGAACTTGAAACCTGTACACATTTGTTAACCAGTGTCACCCCAATAAATTCAATAAAAAGAAAAAAAAATCAATGGGATTTTGAAAAAAAGATGAATCAAAAATTCAAATTCCAAACATAAAACTGCAGGCATCTAACGTAAGTGTACTTTTTCTGGGCTTTAAGACAACAAACAGCACATTACACTTTATTATGTCCCATGCTGATTTACAAATCTACATATAGGTAAATGGTGAATAAAAACAATTTAACAGCCTGGCCTGTGTGGCTCAGAGGTTGAATGTCGACCAGGAGGTCACAGGTAGATTCCCAGTCAGGACACATGCCTGGGTTGGGGGCTAAATCCCCAGCACAGGGTGTGCAGGAAGCAGCTAATGATTCTCTCTCATCATTGATGGTTCTATCTCCCTCTCCCTCTCCTCTCCTCTCTGAAATACATATAAAAAGATTTAACATATAGCTATGTAGCTGTGTGCTCAGTTCTGTAATCTATACAATCATAAGAGGATAAAGAAGTTTGATAAAGGGACACACAAAAGCAATAAAAGATACAACTATGCAACTAACACCAAAGGCCAGAACACTTTTATCAAGAGATCAAATATTAGGACAAAGGAACCATCTGGTAAGGGAGAACCAAAGGTTTAACACTTAATCATCCAGACAAGTAAATTTCTTTCATCAGAAAGATGGTTTCTAACATCTTACCACTCACTGCATGAAAAACAATATAATGACGGAATATGTCTCTAATATTATTTCAAAAGATCACATTAATTCCCCAAACATTTACTGAGGCCTTACAATGTTTCAGGTACAGTACTGGCCATGAGGGGAGACAAAGAATATGCAAGATCCTGCTTGAGGAGCTTCCAGTCTAGGATGCAGCCCAGACAAGCAAGTTAACAGCACAGCGAGGAAGTGCTGTAACAGAAGCACACAGGCTGTGCAGAACCTGATGAAAAAAGTGGCTCAATGGTCTAGGCCTAGGGAACTGGGGAGGCCTCACAGGTTGCTCACTGTTTGAGTTGCCTTAGCCGGTTGCTCAGTGGTTAGAGCATCAGCCCACTCACTGAAGGGTCCCAGGTTCGATTCTAGTCAAGGGCATGTACCTTGGCTGATGCTCAAGGCCCTGGTCCTGGTTGTGGTGTGTGCCAGAGGCAACCAATCGATGTGTTTCTCTCCTATCTATTTTTCTCTCCCTCTCTGCTTCTCTCCTTCCCTACCACTCTCTCTAAAAAAAATCAAAGGAAAAATATCCTCAGGTGAGGATTAACAAAATTAGAGACATCACTGGAACAAAACAACAGCACATTTAGGAGCTCAACACAAAGATAGAAAGATGAGAAGGGAGGGGTTTTAGGGAACAAAGAAGAACTTTTAGTGCAGCCTTGGGTCTTAATGGGGTAATGGAGATTCGGAAACACGGGATAATTATCAGTGTGAAATTCATGACTCTCATGAGGATGGGACCACAATTTAAATCTAGCATAGGGGTTGGTAACTTTTTTTTTTTTTTTTACAGAGAGGAAGAGAGAGGGATAGAGAGCTTGAAACATCGATGAGAGAGAATCATCGATCAGCTGCCTCTTGCACACCCCCCATTGGGGATGTGCCCGCAACCAAGGTACATGCCCTTGACCGGAATTGAACCTGGGACCCCTCAGTCCACAGGCCTACGCACTATCCACTGAGCCAAACCGGTTTCCAGGGGGTTGGTAACTTTTAAAAAGCAATGTATCAAGACTTGTCAAGGGACAGGCGGTGGTAAAGTGTTATACCAACAGATAACCAGCAAAACCAGACTTGCTCCTTAAGACTTAGCAGCAGTATGTTAAGCCAGAATTTCCTTCCTCATTTCTCTACTTTAATGGAAGAAAATGGGCACAAAGGGCGATGAAGCCTGAGGGGTGCAGGCAGCCCAGGCTTTCCAACTCTCTGGTCCTGGGCTCCCTGGTCCCTGCCCCGTCAGAGGAAGAAGTGACAGGGCATCACATCCCCGCTGAGCTTCTTACTAGGAGGGTAGAGGAAGCTGTATTACACACTGGTCCTCAAGGTCCTTCTGCGAAGTATTAAAAACAAACAATGGCCCTGACTGGACTGGTTCAGTGGATAGAGCATTGGCCTTCAGACTGAAAGGTCCCAGGTTCCATTCCGGTCAGGGGCATATACCTAGGTTGTGGGCACATCCCCAGTAGGAGGTGTGCAGGAGGCAGCTGATCGATGTTTTCTCTCCCATCAATGTTTCTGACTCTATCCCTCTTCCTTCCTCTCTGTAAAAAATCAATAAAAATATATTAAAAAACAAACAATGCCTGCCCTGTGAATCTGCCAGGCTGCCAGACAAAACCGTTGTATTAAAAACCAACGGGGAGAGAGGATCCAAGATGGCTGCTCGGGTAGACATCTAGCCGCGGCAGCACACAACAATTTCAATGGAATACAACTAAAATGTAGAGTGGACATTGCCCAGAACTACAGGTAGTCGACTGACTGAAATTTCTACAACAAGAAGGAAAGAGAAAACCAGAAAGAAAATCAGAGGAGCTGAAAAAAAGCCTGAGGTACGGAGACATGCTGCGCGCGCCTGCCCGCCCGCCCGCGCGCACGGAGAGGTCGCAGCCGGAGAGGAGGAGAGGGCGGGGAGCCGCCTTTCCTTCCCTAGCAGGAAGGAAATAAAACCCCCAGCCTGGGCTGAACCCCCGAACCGGCAGCGCTGAGCCCCCCCGAACCAGCAGCGCTGAGCCCCAGTTATGGGCCAGACCCTGGGGACCCAGGCTCCGGTGGGAGGAGACGGGGCCGTGAGGCGGAAAAACGGCGAAAGGCAGGGCCCCGGGAGTCGCGCGCAATGCGCGCAGAGGACTGAATGCTGACTCTGATGCTGGGTTGCCCTAGCCGGAAGAAACAAGGCCTCCGGCGGCGCTGAGCCTCAGTCCGGACTGCTCCGAACCCCAGTTCTGGGCCAATCCCTGGGGACCCAGGCTCAGGCAGAGGGAGACAGGGCTGTGAGGTGGAGTCCGGGAAGAGCGGCGAAAGGCCGGGCCCCCGGGACTCTCGCAAACTGCACGCAGAGGACAGTCTGTGGGACTCGCGCAAACTGCGCGCAGAGGACAGTCTGTTGACTCTGATGCTGGACTTCCCTAGCGGGAAGGAGAAAAAAAAAGCTCTAGGCTGGGGGAACGCGGAGGGGAGCGGAAGCCCCTGCCGGACTCCAGCCAACCGGGCACCAGCAAGGAGGCGGGCCACGGGGCCCCTGGGGGCGTGGGTGCCCCTGAGCCTTTGACAACTGAGCTCGGGCAATGGAGCCAAGGCCGGGGGCTGCTTCCTGGGCGGCGCCGTCCCGGCAACAGGCTGAAGCAGCACAGGAGCCCGCGGAGAACAAAGGGGTGCCACAGGCCAACCTGCTGAGCTCCCAGGACAAGGAGGAAGAAACCAAAGAAGTTCTCAATGTGAAGAAATCAAGTGAGAGCAAAAAATAGTAAAATTACTTAAGAAAGAATACAAAGAAGATCTTGAAAAATCAAAGACTAAGTCAGAACTCAACTCACCAGCCAACATTGCAACATAAATGCGTTTTAAAAAGAAAAAAAAAGGACAGAATGTTGGAACAGCGACGGCCAGGCCTAGAGTGGCCAGGCACAAGGCAGTGGCAGCCAGACCCGGAGCAGCAACGGCCAGGCCCCAGAACAACAGCAGCCAGAACCAGAGCATCAACAGCCAGCACTGGAGTAGCCAGACCTGGGGCAGTGGCAGCCAGGCATGAGGCGGAGGCAGCCAAGCCCAGGGTGGCCAGTCCAGGAACACCCAGACCCGGAGTGGCCGGGCCCGAAGAAGCCGGGCCCAGAGCAGCCGGGGTGGGAGCAGCCAGACCCAGAACAGCAGTAGCCAAGCCCAGAGCATCCAGGTCGGGAGTGGCCAGGCTCGGAGCGGCCGGGCCCGGGGCAGCCGGGCCCAGAGCAGCCGGGTCAGGTACGGCCAGGCCCGGAGCAGCAGCTGCCAGGCTGGGAGCGGCCAGGCCCGGGGGAGCAGGCGGGTCGGGTGCGGCCAGGCCCGGAGCAGCGGCTGCCAGGCTGGGAGCGGCCAGGCCCGGGGGAGCAGGCGGGTCGGGTGCGGCCAGGCCCGGAGCAGCGGCTGCCAGGCTGGGCGCGGCCAGGCCCGGGGGAGCAGGCGGGGCTGGTGCGGCCAGGCCCGGAGCAGCGGCTGCCAGGCTGGGAGCGGCCAGGCCCGGGGGAGCAGGCGGGGCTGGTGCGGCCAGGCCCGGAGCAGCGGCTGCCAGGCTGGGAGCGGCCAGGCCCGGGGGAGCAGGCGGGGCTGGTGCGGCCAGGCCCGGAGCAGCGGCTGCCAGGCTGGGAGCGGCCAGGCCCGGGGGAGCAGGCGGGTCGGGTGCGGCCAGGCCCGGAGCAGCGGCTGCCAGGCTGGGAGCGGCCAGGCCCGGGGGAGCAGGCGGGGCTGGTGCGGCCAGGCCCGGAGCAGCGGCTGCCAGGCTGGGAGCGGCCAGGCCCGGGGGAGCAGGCGGGTCGGGTGCGGCCAGGCCCGGAGCAGCGGCTGCCAGGCTGGGAGCGGCCAGGCCCGGGGGAGCAGGCGGGGCTGGTGCGGCCAGGCCCGGAGCAGCGGCTGCCAGGCTGGGAGCGGCCAGGCCCGGGGGAGCAGGCGGGTCGGGTGCGGCCAGGCCCGGAGCAGCGGCTGCCAGGCTGGGAGCGGCCAGGCCCGGGGGAGCAGGCGGGGCTGGTGCGGCCAGGCCCGGAGCAGCGGCTGCCAGGCTGGGAGCGGCCAGGCCCGGGGGAGCAGGCGGGTCGGGTGCGGCCAGGCCCGGAGCAGCGGCTGCCAGGCTGGGAGCGGCCAGGCCCGGGGGAGCAGGCGGGGCTGGTGCGGCCAGGCCCGGAGCAGCGGCTGCCAGGCTGGGAGCGGCCAGGCCCGGGGGAGCAGGCGGGTCGGGTGCGGCCAGGCCCGGAGCAGCGGCTGCCAGGCTGGGAGCGGCCAGGCCCGGGGGAGCAGGCGGGGCTGGTGCGGCCAGGCCCGGAGCAGCGGCTGCCAGGCTGGGAGCGGCCAGGCCCGGGGGAGCAGGCGGGTCGGGTGCGGCCAGGCCCGGAGCAGCGGCTGCCAGGCTGGGAGCGGCCAGGCCCGGGGGAGCAGGCGGGGCTGGTGCGGCCAGGCCCGGAGCAGCGGCTGCCAGGCTGGGAGCGGCCAGGCCCGGGGGAGCAGGCGGGGCTGGTGCGGCCAGGCCCGGAGCAGCGGCTGCCAGGCTGGGAGCGGCCAGGCCCGGGGGAGCAGGCGGGTCGGGTGCGGCCAGGCCCGGAGCAGCGGCTGCCAGGCTGGGAGCGGCCAGGCCCGGGGGAGCAGGCGGGGCTGGTGCGGCCAGGCCCGGAGCAGCGGCTGCCAGGCTGGGAGCGGCCAGGCCCGGGGGAGCAGGCGGGGCTGGTGCGGCCAGGCCCGGAGCAGCGGCTGCCAGGCTGGGAGCGGCCAGGCCCGGGGGAGCAGGCGGGTCGGGTGCGGCCAGGCCCGGAGCAGCGGCTGCCAGGCTGGGAGCGGCCAGGCCCGGGGGAGCAGGCGGGGCTGGTGCGGCCAGGCCCGGAGCAGCGGCTGCCAGGCTGGGAGCGGCCAGGCCCGGGGGAGCAGGCGGGGCTGGTGCGGCCAGGCCCGGAGCAGCGGCTGCCAGGCTGGGAGCGGCCAGGCCCGGGGGAGCAGGCGGGGCTGGTGCGGCCAGGCCCGGAGCAGCGGCTGCCAGGCTGGGAGCGGCCAGGCCCGGGGGAGCAGGCGGGTCGGGTGCGGCCAGGCCCGGAGCAGCGGCTGCCAGGCTGGGAGCGGCCAGGCCCGGGGGAGCAGGCGGGGCTGGTGCGGCCAGGCCCGGAGCAGCGGCTGCCAGGCTGGGAGCGGCCAGGCCCGGGGGAGCAGGCGGGGCTGGTGCGGCCAGGCCCGGAGCAGCGGCTGCCAGGCTGGGAGCGGCCAGGCCCGGGGGAGCAGCCGGGTCGGGTGCGGCCAGGCCCGGAGCAGCGGCTGCCAGGCTGGGAGCGGCCAGGCCCGGGGGAGCAGGCGGGGCTGGTGCGGCCAGGCCCGGAGCAGCGGCTGTCAGGCTGGGAGCGGCCAGGCCCGGGGGAGCAGGCGGGGCTGGTGCGGCCAGGCCCGGAGCAGTGGCTGCCAGGCTGGGAGCGGCCAGGCCCGGGGGAGCAGCCGGGTCGGGTGCGGCCAGGCCCGGAGCAGCGGCGGCCAGGCTGGGAGCGGCCAGGCCCGGAGCAGCAGCAGCCAAGTCCAGAGCAACTAGGTTGGGAGCGGCAGTGACCAGACCCGGAGCAGCTGGTTGTGGAATGAACCAGAGCAACAGAGGCCAGGCCCTGAGCAGCCAGGCCCGGAACAGCTCGCTCCTCGCCTGCCCCTGCCCCACGGCTGCTTCTCAGACATGGCTGGAAACTTTCGTGGGAACTTGAGTGTCTGCTGAATCAAGTGATGAAGGCTTAGATCTGGATGTGTTGAGTTAGTTTAGGACTGGGGTTTTGATCTGTGAGTGCCTTGGGTGGGGCCTCGATGAGGCTGGTTGACCTAGTGGGAAATGTCTTTTGTGTGAAGTGTATCATTGGGCATGTGGAGGTATTATTGATATGAGAAAATGCTAAGTAACTGATTTACTATCTGAAAAGGGATTTACTATTGGGGAAATTGAGGGAAGAAGAGACTGAACATAAACTGCACCTATGGATGAGGACAATGGGGGATGGGGGGGGACGGAGGGTGGGGTGGGAACCTGGTGGAGGGGGGAAGAAATGAGGAACCTTTGTAATAATATGAACAATAAAGATTGCTAAAAAAAAAAAAAAAAAAAAAAAAAAAAAAAAAAAAAAAGAATACCCTTCAATATTTTATATAATAAAAAAAAAAAAAATAAAAAAATAAAAAAAATAAAAAGCCAAAAAAAAAAAAAAAAAAAAAAAAAAAAAAAAAAAAAAAAAAAAAAACCAACGGGGAGCCGAAACCGGTTTGGCTCAGTGGATAGAACGTTGGTCTGCGGACTGAAAGGTCCCAGGTTCGATTCCGGTCAAGGGCATGTACCTTGGTTGCGGGCACATCCCCAGAAGGGGGTGTGCAGGAGGCAGCTGATCGATGATTCTCTCTCATCGATGTTTCTAATTATATCTATCCCTCTCCTCTTCCTCTCTGTGAAAAGATCAATAAAATATAAATATATATAAAAACACCCCCCCCACACACACACAAAAAACCAACGGGGGAGCAGCGAACGCTAACACCTGGTTCGGCGAACACCGGTCTGTAAAGGTGACGTGACCAGCAGGACGCGGAGGAACTGAGCTCCAGCCCCTGCAACTCTACTCCGGCCTGGCCGCGCCACCTCATAAAAAGGCAACGAACGTCTCTGAAGCTCAGGAACGGGACACACACCTCTCACGGCGCGTTTATGGGACTTCTGTGTGAACACGGTCTGTGGGAACCCCCAGACAAACCCCGCTTTGCTTGTCCACGTGGTCTGGAAACCTCTCCAGTGCGGGGACGGGGTCGGACCCCGGTCCCGAGGCCAGAGGGTGGGGTGGGAGGGATTTTATGTTGATGGGGGAGGGGGCATCGGGAGGGCGAGGAGGCCGGGCAGGCGGCCGAGGCGCCGCGAGCCCCCGGCGGGAAGGCCCCGCCCCCGGCTCTCGCTCCCCCTTTACCTGCATGTTGGGCACGAAGCCCTTCTTGATTCTCCAGCAGTTTTTATTGATCTTTTCCAAGAACTGCAGCTCATCGTTGTAGTTGCGACTCATGGCGGCGACTACGGTACCCGCGCCCGGCGCCGCTTTGAAGAGAGCGGCCGCGCTGTCCCGGATCCGCGATCCTGAGCGCCACTTCCGGGACTCAGCGCGCAGGCGCGGCCGGCTCCTCCACAGGAGGGGCTACGGCAAGTGCCGAGGCCCCAAACTCATCGCACAACCGCTTTTTTTTTTCTTGGTTAAGTTAGACTGCCCTCCAGTGTTTACCTTTTTGGGTAGTCACTCGTCATTGTCTCCAGGCCAAAGCCAAGCGAGCTAAGTCCAGCAGTTTTCAGCAGGATCTAGCTAACTTTTGTTTTGGAAGTGCTTGCAGTACTGGCAATCATGCTGAATCTGGGTCGGGTCCGGCCTCTCTAATGAATAAATCAGCCTGGACTTTCATTCCCACCAGTGAGGGTGGAAAGACGTCTGCAGCTGAGAAAGATGAACATGTTTAAATAAACGCTACCGCTGAACATTTGTAATGTTTCAGAATGAATTTGTGGGTATACCTCGAGTAACTTTTATGTTGCAAAAGAGAATCCCCGAAGAATTAAACATACTAGTGTCATTACAACAAACACTTAAGGGGCAGCTGTTAGGGCCAGAGGTGCACAGTCTTACTTTCTTTGGTGACTAAATGCTCTGTGATCATGCTTTTTGTCTGCAGTGTCTCCTGTTCAGTGTAGTGAGCTTTAAGCGATTTCATTTTCTAGTCCTACCTCTTGTAAACAATAACTTGGGAATCAGAAAGACTTGGATTCAGTTTCTACTTTTGCCCTTCACCAGCTTTGTGTGGTTAGTCTCTCTTGACCTTTGTGTCCTCATCTATAAAATGGGATTATAATTCTTCATAGAGAGGCTGTGAGGACGAAATGAACCGACACTCCTGAACTAACCTACATAGGATCTGGCGTGTGGTTAGCACTCCAATCAACCACTGTCTTCCATCTACCCGCCCCCACCCCCCAGATTACAAATAACACAAAAGCAAAGTTTGTGGTTTCTATTCATTTCTTACATCCTCCATGCCAGTCTCCCTTTCTTCCTCTTTTGTCCCAATTACACCCCATTGATTAGGTGCACTAACAACTTATCATCAAGTCTAGGTTATGTAAGGCTAGTACTCTGCACTGCCATTTCACTTAATCTGGGAAGAAAAACATCCTAAAACTTAAAGAAGTGATACAACTTCCAGAGTTTCCTGTTTGTCACTGGATACACCTAGAGACAAAAATCAAGCCTTGAAATCTGCACCACCTCAGTTTTCATCAACGTTAAAGATGCTAAATTCCCTTCCCTCTTTTCAATCTTATTTTATTTCTCAAAGGGACAGGAAATCTTGCAAATAAAAAGACAAGGTTGACATTAATAGAAAACAATTTTAATTAAATACAGTGGACAGTAGCAGTAAATATAAAACACAAAATCCAACATACAGGGATGGGGAGAACCCTTGAGAGCTGAAAGGGCTGAAGGGATCTCCACTGACAACACCAATTCAAATCTGTACTTAAGAGTTTCTCACACACCTCTTCAGAAGCACAGGCCTAGCTGTTGGCCACAGAATCTATAAACACAGCATCACACAACATGCATTGAAACACGAACAACACATTCAAATGACCATCCCTACACATACACAGAGACACACACATCCTGATTTAACTCTTTAACCCAGTTTGCCTCCCTCTGTCCCAGAGGGCTTGAGAAGGAAAATGTTCAGCCCAGGCACTCCACGAGAACTTCAAGACTCCAGTGTGCACTGTTTTCTCCTTCTCGATTTACGGTTGATGGGATTAAGGGCCATTGACTTCCCGGAGTGGACTCCAAACCAGCAATCAGGGCACTGGTTTTCCCCTCCACTGTCCATTTATGAGATTCAGACCTTCCCAACCATAGAAACTTGGTTGCTGTTTTACTGGTGTTTCATACTTCAGGTCAGTGGAAATCAAAAGGAAATGCTGAAAAAGATGTAATGATGAAGATAAGGTGAAACTCAGGGCATCTACAGCTATAGGATGTCTGGGTTTACCTGAGTGGTGAGGAAAAGGTGGTTTCTTTACCAGATCCTACCGTGTTACATCCTCTCCTCCCCTGTCCTCCAGCCATGCCTTTTGCAAGCTCCATAAACCACGTCACTTCTCTGAATCTTACTTTCCTCATCTATAAAATGGGATGAGTACCCCCAGCCTTCCAGGTTGTCTCATGGAATAAAGAAAATAAAAGTGCACTACAGGGCCCTTGTTCTGTGATGTGAATACATTTGGCTGCAAAGAGAAATTGGACCTGGTCTGATTCTAAAATTCAAGTTTAAATGCTCTTCATTGTTGGTTGTAAGCTTCAAGAGCTAAACATTTTGTTTATAAAATTCCTTGGGCTGGGACAAAAACAAAACAGAACAAAAATAAAACAGAAGGTAAGCAAATAGAAGGAGGCTTATTCTACTATGAACAGAAATGGGGCAGTTAAGAGACTGTTCGCATTCTTACCTCAAGGACTTCAACGTCTGAATTGACGAATGAGATTTTGTCTGGGCTGGGCAGAGGAAATCCTTGCTGCAGTTTTGCTAAAATAGAAAACAAGATGTAACATAATTGGGCACGGGCACGGAAGTTTTGTCAAGTTTTTCAGTAACAGACTAACAGGCAGCTTTTAAATAATTTATCTTTCATTCTCCCTGGTCCCATGTTTTCATTTTTTTCTGCTATGTCCCTAGCATTGCCCTGGAAGAGTGGTTAATTAATCCATGCTCAATAGAAATGCACCTGCAATTATGTACATTTGGATGGCAGAAACATGCTGGCATCTTGTCCAATTTATATTTTGAAAACACCTTCCTTTTTGGGTCCTGAGAACAATCTGATCTCTAATACAAAGTATAATTTAACTAAGCCAAACTGGAGATGCTGCTGTGTGTGAACATTTGTCATTCATGAAAACTGTGTCTATTCAGATGGTGGTCTTTGCATAAGAACCAGAGAGACACTGACCGCAAGGGAGAATAATGCCATTTCTGGCTGAAGGCAACTCTTCACTGTGTAAAGAGAATGGTTTCAATCTCCCTAATTCAACCAGAGATAGCCTTTTTGCTGTCTTCAAGCAGAGTTGATAATAAGGCTTGGGCCTGGAATGACTAATTTTGCAACCGTATCCTTCATGGTACAAACTTTGCAAATTGTGGCACTGGCCTGGATTCCTAATAACACCTGAGAAGTACAAGCTTTGGGTGGAAAGTCCCAAACAATCCCCAACATTTGGCCAATGTCAGAGTCACGTTGTTTCCCAAGGGTCTCTTACCATTGGCCAGTGGGAGGACGCCAAAGTGGAGGATGGAGGACAAAATATTTTCGAACCTCAAGACCTGAAATGAAAGGGGAAACGAAGTCAGTTGGGCATTTTGAAAGAGCCATGCCTGGTTTGGACCTGCACTTTCCCAGACCTTACCGGGAGGGAGAGCTATAATTAGAATCTCCCCATACAGATATGTATTCTAGCTTCCAGACTCTGAAAGCTATTTTGTGGGAAACCATGCTACAGAATTTCCCAATCCTTTTTCCTCCTTAAGGATGGACATTTCTGCTTCCCTCTACCCTGGATCATGGTGACAACAAATGCAGAAGGACCAACGGGTGGCAGCAAACATGGCAGCTTAGATATCTATCAAGTAAGACAATCCTGGACAACTAACACATATCCCAATGAGTAATCTTTCCTTAATTTACTGGGAAGCCCAGCCATAGCATTATGTTATGTTGCATGGTTCATGACATTACCAGAATGCCCAATTTATCTTTAATAAACTATGGTACCCTGTTTCCCTGAAAATAAGACAGTGTCTTATATTAATTTTTTCTCCCAAAGTTGAGCTAGGTCTTACTTTCAGGGGATGTCTTATCTTTCCATGAGCTAGGTCTTATTTTCGGAGGATGTCTTATTTTTGGGAAACACAGTAGTTGTATAATCTTAGCAAAGTGCTGATTTCTGGGAAGATTCAAGTATTAAAAACTAAATGGACTATGATAAACATGAATTCATTCAATGAATATTTTTTGAACACCCTCTAGGCTTAGCAATAATAAGGACCTGTTTGCAGCTTAACAAGGGTGGCTCTGAAGCAGATTTCCTAGCTTTACCTCTTGTTTATACCACTTTACTGTGTGATGCTGGGAAAGTGCCTTAAGCTCTCTGTGCCTCAAGCTCCTGAATTGAAAAGTGACGATAGCAGTACTAACCGCACAGGATGTTATCAGGATTATACAAGTTAACATTATGCCTGGTATACACTATTGTCATCCCCCCCCGAAATAGCATGGTTAGTACACTCTGTTGTTGATAGTGAGCAGTTTGTCTGGGTCTTCCTGGAAGACCTGGGCTCATTTTGCCTCCTCAGGGCTCAGGAAATATTATTTACAAGGCAGTCAGCTATGCATTCTCACTGACAATCGTCTGTCATCTACCAAATAGTTATGCCACAGAGGTGCTAATCCAGGTGACCCTACTTGAGAACCACTGCTCTAGAATATAAGCACCATGAAGGTTGGATGCCAATTAGAGATCTGGCTGATCTTCCTGAAGCTTAGGAGGAGGCTTCCAAGTTGCATGTTGGGATATATTCTTCCAATCAGGAGGTCACCTGGCTGCCAACCCCCCTCCACACACACAAGGTATCTATACAACCAGCCTTGACCTAATTTTAGGAAACGGATAGAAAGCCTTCGAAGAGCAAACTCGATCATGGCCTAATAACTGACATGGAGCCTTGTTCTTTGGCAGTCAGTCTGGATCTTAAATTGAACTGTAGAGGATTATTTTATATTTAAAAAAAATCTTCTTGAAAATGCATTCTCCTCATTCCCCGCCCCCCTCCACACACACACATTACCCACCCCCACCCCAACATTACACAGTGTCTTAACAGTCTTTGGAGTTCCTTTTAAAGTCTTTCTGAGTAGATGAAAGTGAATTGGAGAGTTCCTCTCTTGTTTAATAGTTAATGAACTTGGTGAACCGACCAGTAGCTACGTAGAGAATTTTTAAAGTTAAAACCTACATTCCTGGGAAAATCAAGTACTTCTCAGAGGCATGGAAAATAGTCATCCAGTTACTCTATAGGAGGATTCACATTCTTCCTGGACAGGGAATGCTAAGGCTCTGATTCCTACCTCAATATTGTTGTGATTGGATTCTGGCAAAGAGAGGCGGAACCTGAAAATAAAACCACAAAAACCAACAGGTTAAAGGAGGAATATTTTAAAACGACCATTTAAATAGAAAGAAACAAAAAAGGTAGGAGATTTTTTTTTTAGTTCAATAAGCTATTATTAAAAAACAAAACAAAACAAAAAACCACAAAAAAACACCCAATCTTGTAAGGATATAGTGTTCTATTACATTTTTACCCCTATAATCACTGCTTAAGAAGCAGGGCATGAATAGCAGAAGTTCAGGGTTCCCCAAGTGCTTTTGCTCTGTGGGACTTAGTCTGTTGGCAACTTGGAATGCAGAACAACCTTAACATATAATTTTCAATCGATAGCCATACCAATCCCTCTCTCCTATCCCCCAGGCCCCTGGCCCCAATCTCCTCTGCTCTCTGAAGCTAACCAGGATTAGGCCTGGGTAGTACTGGGTTGGGAGAACAGTTCCAGGTCTTCTTGCTCTGAACTCAACCTCATAACTTCTCTGACCCAGGCTGGTACCTTATTAATAAACATGACAATGATGATGATGATAATAATGACACTATACGACATGTCCTAGTTTAGGAGATTTATACACATTTTTAAAAATAATTTTTTGTTGTTAATCCTCATCTGAGGATATTTTCTGAGAGAGAGACAGAGAGAAAGAGAGAGAGAGACAGAGAGAAAGAGAGAGAGAGAGAGAGAGAAAGAGAGAGAGAGAGAGGGAGGGAGGAAGGGAAAGAGAGAGAAACATTGATGTGAGAGAGACACATCAACTGGTTGCCTCCAGCCCTCATCCCAACCAGGGAACGAACCTGCAACCCAGGTACATGCCCTTGGCCAGGAATTGAACCCATGACACGTTGGTGCATGGGCTAATGCTTTAACCACTGAACACACCAGCCAGGGCTAAACATTTTTAAATTTAAACTTCACAGTAACCCTGTGATAGATGCAGTTATTGTTGCCCCTTTTGCAGATGAGGAAACTGATGATCAGAGAGGGGAATTAAATTGCTCAAGTTTCAGAGTTAGCAACTGATGGATCTGGATGACAAATCTCACTCTGCTTGACTCTAGAGTCTATGCTCAGCTCTCAGGAAGCTGTATCACCTATATCATTTTTTATCTGTTCAATCATAACACATTGGGGAAACGTTAGCTCTGACAGCTGTCTGGCATCACAGGCAGTGGGGGGAATTGTGAAAGGCGTTGCTGGGCCATGGGAAGGGATGCTTCCTCTTGGTCATACCACCTCCTATGCACAAGGCAGACCAGGTTGGAAATCTGGCCTACATACAGGTGGAACACACTTGTGAGTTTTCCTTCTTTTCTTTCATCACAACCCCAAGCCATGATTGGCCTCTTCGAGACCACCTGCTATGAGTGAGCTCATCTGGGGTTTCCCACAAACCAACTCTCCTTTCCTCGTAAGGCCATCTTCTGTTTCTCCTTGTTCTCTAGGCACACTCACCAGGTTTGCTTACTAATGGGCACGTCTCACTGTCTGCAGAGAAACAGGCGGAGCAAAGAGCAAACTACACGTGAGTGCAGTTCAGACCACGAGGTGGCGACTCAGTTCAGTGCTTTGACCTTTCATTCTCGGCCAGGACCCTAGCCTGCCACATAAAGCCTTGACACTAGGAACGTTATTTTTATGACAGAACTACAGAGTCCTTGGGGAAAACGGGAGCTCAAATAGCCTTACTTTGCAGACATATAAGAATATAGCTTATTTTTAAAGTTTTGGAGACAGTTTATTGTCCTGATAAAAAACCAGAGCTAAACTGCAAACTCTGAAGCTTGGCAAAGGCCCTTAATGATCTGGGCCAATATAGCAAATATGACACAATGAAGGTCAAGTGCAGCAAAGCACAGGCACTCACAAAGCCATGTCTCCAACCCCGTGGCCACAGCAGACATTGGAAATCAATCCTGCACTCAATATCTACTCTATAATAATTGTTTATCTCTTCATCTGACTGTGAACTCCTTGAGAATAGAGATTCAGCCTTAACTTTGTATTCCCAGATTGAGTACCGGGGCACTTACTGTTCATCCATCCATCAATCCATCCATCCATCCATCCATCCATCCATCCATCCATCCATCCATCCATTGATTCACCCAACAGATATTTACTGAATACCTAGTAGATGTCAGCCCTGGGACAGGTGCCGCAGATATGATTGTGAGCAAAACCAGACACAGCCACTGCTCTAGTATAGCCCCCCGTGGGGAGGGAGGCATTAATCAAATCACCCACTGATGAAGGTGTAATTGCAGATTGTGATAACTGCTCTGGTGGAAAGAAATACATTCATGGAGGCAAATGAGAAAGGCACCTCATCTCACTTGGTAGGTAGAGGAAGTTTTCCAAATCACAGAAGAATGTCCTTGAGCTAACATATAAAGGATGAGCAGGGTTAAGCAGGCAAAAGGGGAAGGCAGAGAGAAGGGGTCTGGGCAGAAGTTGCAAAGGTCCCGTGGAGGGAACAGAGAGCAGGGTGATGCTGGAGAGGCAAACGGGGTTGACCCGGCTGGGTTTCTCAGGCCATGTTGGAATTCTGATATTTATCCTAAGAGCAAGGAATCAATAGAAGGTTTCTAAGCAGGGAGGTGATGCCTGTGTTGTGTGACAATCACTCTGCAGCACGGAGGGAAGACTGGCAGGCAAGAGGTTTCCCAGGTGCAGGGTTTTATTTGTGTGAAGGATGAAGAGAAGCTGTGTGGCAAGAAGCAATTAGAGAGCAATGCAAAGCAGTGTTTATTCAGGTGCACTTTTGCTGCAGGAAGTCTGAGAAGGTGGGACAAGGTAAAACAGCCAGCGTGGGTAGCATGTATGTGAGTGTGTGAGTGTGTGTGTGTGTGTGTGTGTGTGTGTGTGTGTGTGTGAGAGAGAGAGAGAGAGAGAGAGAGAGAGAGAGAGAGAGAGGGGGAGAGAGATGGGGGGGGGAAAGAGGGAGGAGCAGGGGGGGGGGAATAAATTGCCCTTTGAGAAAAGCACTCTGTATACTACCATGTCCCTTAGCACCCAGTACTGTTGTTGCCTGAAACTGAGTGTTTCTCTCACCAGACTGTGGATCTGGAAAGTAGACACCACTGTCCACTCTACTCTCTGTATTAAGAACAGGGCAGAGCACATAATAGGTGCTTAATACATTCTCAATGAGTGGATATTTGGATAAATGAGCAGATAAAGGACATGGGTGGGAGAGTATCTTTAGAACTGAGGTCTCTTTGAGGGTGAGCCAGCAGAGTGTTCACTTTAGGAAACCCTGGGAAGTAAGGCTGGCTGGCTTGAAAGGTAGAACCAATAACTGAAGAGCTAGAAACCCCAGCCTGTGGATTCAATCCAACTAGGAAAGATTTTGAGGGGAGCCCATTCCAACATTGAAGGACCCTTTCAAGCAGGAAGAGTTCCCTAAAGTTTTAACTCGATTGCCTTCTACAATCTGGAAATTCCCCCAAAGAGTCAGGGAGAAGGGGAAAAAGTCATCTGGGGTTCCCTTCTCAGATGGAGCACTACTCCCCGCCCCCCCCCCCCCCCCCCCCCCGTGGCATTCCTCTGTCCTGGCTTCAACAGTCGCTCAGAGGAAGGGTGGAGATGGAGGTCTACATGATGCCAAGTCTGAGCTCTATTGACCTGTCCGAGCACTGTTCCAACAGAAACCGAATCCATTCTTCCCGGACCTGTTTTCCTCTTCGGGTTTCTCTCCAGATGGCTCACCTGGGCAACTGTTTACCCGCCCAAACTTGAGGAGTGGAGTTAGGTGGTGATTCTATCTGCTTGCAGTCAGCTATATTTGCATTTTCTGCCAGTGTTGTATGGGAGGGGTTGTAGGGCTTGTGCGTGTGCATTAATGTAGTGGGGTGGGGTGCAGTTTGGGAGCATCCAAAGCCTCAATCCCATAGCAATGTCAAAAAATAACCCAAAGTTCTAAATGGTACAACACGAATGTACATTTGATTGCTTGTGATTAAGAGGGTTAGAATGGCACCATCTGGATGCAAACCGAATAAGAGAAAGTGTTGTTTTTTAATTTGGCCTCTGAAATAATCTCAAACTGTCTAGGATGTGGGCCAACCTGTACTGGGGTTACCGCCAAATAGAACTGTGTTTGGAACGAAATTCTCTACTGTAGATAGGGCAGTGAGAATCTGATGTATGACTGAGTGCCAACTCCCAGCTTTGAGGACCATCTTGGTCACACTGTGATCCTAGAATGAAGAAGAGAATGAAATACCACTGCTAGTAGGAACAGATCTTTCTTAGGCGCTGATAATGTGCTGGGTAGTGTGCTTTTCACGCTTTAGCTCATCTACCCGTACAACCATGCAATGGAGAGCTGCTTCATTTTGCTGGTGAGGAAACAGATACTCGGAGAGGTTAATTAACTCGCTCAAGGTGCCACAGTTCCATATGACTGAGGTAGAAGTCACACTCACATATGTCTGACGTTAGAGCCTGCACTCTTAACAGACATAACCAAAGAGGTCAAGTCTATTATTTATACTCCCGGCTTTGGCTTTCTTTATCCTTCCTTTGCTCAGTTCCTTAATGCAAAGAGAAAGAGGCTGTGTCCAATGCCAGTGCCTCCTCTATCACTACTTATCAACGAGGAAGATCATGCTCCTTGTTTCAATTCAGTGTGACTCCATGCTCATGGGTTTCTGCTTTTAGGCAGGGTATTTATTTTCTAAGTCTTAGGTCTAAGTCTTATTTTCCTTTTTAAAAAAAAATATATTTTATTGATTTTTTTTACAGAGAGTAAGAGAGAGGGATAGAGAATTAGAAACATCAATGAGAGAGAATCATCAATCAGCTGCCTCTTGCACATCCCCCACTGGGGATGTGCCCACAACCAAGGTACATGCCCTTGACCGGAATCGAACCTGGGACCTTTCAGACCGCAGGCCAACACTCTATCCACTGAGCCAAACCGGTTTCAGCTGAGTCTTATTTTCTAAGTCTCAGCTCTTCACTACACCAAAGGCAGTACAATCCAGTAAGTAAATACTCAAGGCTGTGAAAACAGACTCACCCAGATTCACGTTCTGGCTCCGCTACTCAATAGCTCTGTGACTTGAGTAAGTCATTTAAGCCCAGAACTGAACCATGGGGCTAATAACACCTACCACCAGGGTATTCACTCAATCTACAACCATTTATTGAGTGCCATGCCAGGTCCTGGAGAGAAATAATCTATGTGCAATGCTTGGTACAGGACCAGAGGACAGTAAAGCCTCAATAACACAGAGCAGTCACAGAGCAGTAGAACACACGGCGATTTCTCTAAGCACCATCCCAGGACAGGGGAGTGAGGTGTTTTCTGAATAAGGGAACTCTTGAAATGATCTTGTATGACTGAGCACCACTTTCTGCTGGCTGAGGCCAGCCCCCAATTTTAAATAATAGCCACAGCTAACATTTCTTGAACACATAACATGCACTTTACATGTATTAACTCCTGTATTCCTCACAACACCCCCTGAAGTGGAAACTTGCCTGGAGACTGGGCTGGGATCCAAACCAGCTAGTCCGACTGCAAAGCCTGTGAGCTCACTACCTCTCTAGCCTCACCTCTGGATGTGCCTCTGATTTCCGCAGCTGGTGTCTATGCAGACGCGTACCTCCTCTCCCCCAGCAGCTCCAGAAAGAACTGCTCCAGGGAGGGGATGGTTAGAAAGGTGGGGTGTTCTGGAGAGCTGTATTTGGAGACCCGGTGACCCCAATTCCCCTCAGGGATGTTTCCTTGATCCTCACCTGCTTTCCACTCCTTCCTGCTGTGTCTCTCTGACATCATCAAAGAGGAAACCAGCCGGTCCTGAAAAGCAGCGCTTGCCTGCGAAGCCCAGGTGTGGAGACACTGGCTGGGGTGGCCCGTGTGGGCGGTGGGGCTACCATTCTCGCTGCCAGAGGCTAAGGCCACTCTTTCAGCATACCTCTGCTCCTTGGCAAAGCCCTGTCTCTCACGTTGGCTGCCTGAGGTCTGAGTGAAGCCCGGCCCACTCACTTGGTCGCAGTCTGCTCCTTGCTTGAGGTTTGCTACCATATCCCCTCCAGGGGCCACCCTCAGGCTTATGCAGGCAACCTGTGCAGTTAGGTCAGGCCTCTGCTCAGCAGGCCCCTGCTCAGTTAAATGTCTGCTGTCTCCAACTTGAATTTCTACATAATTTTTGAGCAGGGGGTCTGCATTTTCATTTTCACAGGGTTGACAGGTGTGCTTATGCAGCTCCATATTTTCCTTGTTTCATTTAGTATTACAGGTATTTTATCGAAAACATCTTGCAATGGGAAAAAATGGGGATATATGCAATACTTTCAACAACAACGAAACATTTTTAAAAAGAAAGAAAACGTTTTTCTACAATAGTCCTGATAACTATCAAGTTGACTGATGGCTACTGACTTCCTTTCCCCTGTGTTGGTTTCCTATTCTTTTTGGACTCTGCCGTCTTTGTCTGTTTTATTCCTTGTCTATTTCTTCCTTTCACAGGTTTAATCTGGGCCATCGTAGACCCGCCCCCCAGGTAAGATCAAATGAACAGGTAAGATCAAATGTAGACCCGCCCCCCATTCTGTAGACCCGCCCCCCAGGTGGTCTGAGTCATGGCTTCAACTATGGCATCAGAGGGCTGAGGAAAATGGGGGGTTCCTCCAAATGGCCATTAGTGTTCGACGATCTGTGTCCATGATCTGCTCAAGCCCGTTCACACCGCATGGCTTGCAGCTGAGGGCCAGTCAGGCCGTGTGGCTCAGGCTGGTTAAACTCTACCTTGGAGTAATGAGATATGAGTGGCAGAGCTTGAAGGTATCTCAGGAATGATTCAGTCCAACTTCATTATTTCTCAGATAAGGAAGCTGAGACTCAGCGGTCAATAGACTTGATCACGGATATGGAAGCAGTGAGCAGGGATTTGAAACTTCATTCCTTGACCTCCAAGTTTTATGCTCTCTGCTCGGTGGCATGGCTTCTGAATTTGTTAAAGAGGAATTTTAGTTTTATATGGCTGTACCATTAGGATGTGCATTTATAGTAAGTAATTATATTACTGTGCTGCCTATTTTAGCTTAATACTATTTAATGGGAAGGAAAAAAGAAAATGTTCACAACACATTTTTAAATCCCTACTTTGCAATGATCTGGACAATTGCAGGAGAAGTGTGTAAGTGATTCATGTTTTATCCAGTGGTAACTGCACTTGTAATCTTTGTCTCTATGGCCTGTTGATTTACTTATGGTGAAGGTTCCCAACAGTCAAATCATTTGATCTTACCTGTTCAGAGACAGGGAGCAGATCAGTCGTTGTCCCAGAATAACCAGGCTGACACTGGTGCTAGCGACCTGCAGACAACAAAAGCATGGATTGCTAAGAGGGAAGCTCTCTGGCCATAGATATTATTTCCTAGAGTGGAAACATCATAAGCTCCATTTCCCTCTGATTCTGAGAGCTATTTGAAAGAAATAAATCTAAAAATGCCGTCTTTCGGGTAAGAAAACTAACTATAAAGACTTCTGCTTGAAGATCTCCTTTAAAATATTTTCCCCCCTCTTAATCTCTCTTCTCTATGTAGTGTGTGTGTGTGTGTGTGTGTGTGTGTGTGTGTGTGTGTGTTGGGGGGGGGAGGGTATTTTGCTTAGGTTTGTTGTATTAGTCCCTTTCTATTGAGTTGTATTTGGCCTTCTTCTGCTCAAATAAACTTGAATTCCACCTTGATTAGCTTATTTCAAGGGAAAAGAAACTTGGCTGTCCATGTGACTGAAGCAGAGGGAAGGGCACATGGGGAGCAGAGAAGGGCCCAGAGCTATTTTACAATGTATGAGGGTTGAGCACTAGCCTCTCCTAGCTCCGCACACTCTTATCTCAACCCTGTCCCCACCCCTAACTGATACATCACTTCCCACCCTTCCGAGCACTTAGACCGCTGCTGGTCAGTGGTCTGCTACAGGAGAGGATGGGCACCCACAGGCCGCCCTCTGACTCCACAGACTTACAAAGTCCATGGAAACGATGCTCTCGGCAGTCGAATTCTCAGACTGCGTGAGTAACATGATGGAAGCAGGGATGTCCAGGGTAAAGTTCCCCGGTAGCAAACTGATCACAGGAGGCTCTGTGGCCATGATTCGAATCATGAAGGGCTGGGACAAGATGTAGATCTCCGCAATCTGCCCGGGTTCAGGGAAAAAATGGAGATCAGGGGTTGCAAGTTGATGAGTGAAAGTCACAAATTTGGAGGGGGGGAGAGACACTAAATCTGACATCATGCAGTAAGAACAGACAAAAAGCTCCTTAATAATAATAACAACAACATGCAAAAAAACAAATAATAACGGCTGAGGTTTATGGAACACACACTGTGTGCCAGGCACCAGGCAAGGCTGTTTGTATCATCTCATTTAATCTTCACAAAATCCTTGTGAGGCAAGTTCTCCCATTTCACAAATAAAAAAAGTGAGTCTTGGAGAGGTTTAGTCATCTTCTCAAGGTTCCAGGTGAGTAAGTTGTAGAATTAGGGTGATTCAAGATCCTTATTCTAACTCCAGGATGCTCTAAAAATAGCATGTCTCGCCTGGCTGGTGTGGCTCAGTGGTTGAACATAGACCTATGAACCTGGAGGTCCTGGTTTGATTCCTGGTCAGGGCACATGCCCGGGTTGTGGGCTCAATCCCTAGTGCAGCATGTGCAGGAGGCAGCCAATCAATGATTCTTTCTCATCATTGACGTTTATAGCTCTCTCTCCTTTCCTCTCTAAAATCAATAAAAATATATTTAAAACAAACAAACAAACAAACAAACAAAACAAAAACAGCATGTCTGTCTTTGTCCTTAGGGGCAAGCTTGAGCCTTTCATACGCTCGGTCCAGCACTCAGGTGCTCTGAGGCATGGCACTAATTGCTGCTTCACTAAAGGCACAAGCAAAGGGCACTAGCTCTTCATTTCCCATTTAAGCTCATTATTTCCAGTGTGCTGGAACCCTGAGGGTGCAACGGATGATTTATCTTTCGAACTTAAAATCCTTTAATAGTAAGGTGTTCAGTAAATATTTGTGGATACTTGAACAAAAGAAAAAAAATTCCTCAAGAATGCAAACATGGCCGAAACCGGTTTGGCTTAGTGGATAGAGCGTCGGCCTGGGGATTGAAAGGTCCTGGGTTTGATTCCAGTCAAGGGCATGCACCTTGGTTGAAGGCACATCCCCAGTAGGGGGCGTGCAAGAGGCAGCTGATCGATGATTCTCTCTCATCCATGTTTCTAACTCTCTATCCCTCTCTCTTCCTCTCTGTAAAAAAAAATCAATAATATATATATATATTTTTAAAAAGTGCAATGTAAACATTAAAAAAAAAAAAGAATGCAAACATAGACTTGGGATTGCACCAAAAAGGAACAAAAAGAACCCCCAAAATAAGAAACAAAAATAAGAACCCTCAAATATTCTGGAAGTAATTTCAACAAAACCAAATACACTATCAAGGAGTCAAATCTTGACAACTTACCCGGGAGAGAATGTTGCCAACGCCTTGAGAGTTTCGAACCAAATGGCTGGAAATCTGGAAAATGAAGCCCATCATGTCAGTGTAAGGTTTTTACCTGAGGTTGTCTTCGCAGGGAAAATACAACTTTCCCTGTAATGTGTATGAATTATGAAGCTGTTGCACCAAAAAAGGTGTTTGAAGGCAATTTACCATTTTATAGACCAACCCCAGGAAACATGAGGCCCAGGGAAGTACAGTGACTTGCCCCTGGAGAGTCCCACAGGAGATCCATTCCTTCTGAGTAAGTGGCTTTTAACCTTGGGAACACTGTGTACTTCATATATGTGTGATCCATGTGTAAATATTCTAGAAGTTTTGTGCTACTGTCTTCATTATGGAGACATAGGAGGCTTAAGTAATTTATCTTCACGGATGGGTGGTTTTCAAGTCTTGGTGCTAGAAGTGTCTAATTTTCAGCACTGTGTGGTAGCTGGTATGGCCAGCTTAGTATTTTGAACATAAGGTTTATGACAACTTGCATAATTAAGACCTACCAAATGAAGATTCATAAGGGATGCTCAGTAAAAGTTGTTGGTTGGCAAGCTGGAAAGAGGGTTCTCATATGCAAAAGGGAGGGGCATGGCAGGGAGAATCAGTGAGTATCTGTATTCTCATGGTCTCTGCTGATAAGTCAGTTGCAATTGCTAACAGAAGAAATATTTATGTTGGCATAACATAAGGAATAATAATAATAACCAGCGACACTTACAGTACACTTTGTGCTGGGCATTGGTCTGAATGCTTTATATATATTTAAATCTCTTTAATGTTTATATCAACGTATGGCTTATTATGGAAATTAAAGAATTATTATTATTCCAATTTTTCAAATGAGGAAACTCTGGCAAAGAGAAGTTAAATAAACTGAAATTGCCCAAGGTCGCAGGTAATAAGTGATGGAGAGGGTCCTGTCATTACTTAAGAGCAAACTTGGAATCATAAAGAAATGAAATTATAAGAACCAGAAACTCAACAACTTTCCAACTAATAAGGTTCATGCCACAACTCCTTCATTCATTGTCCTGATAGGAGTGCTAGTCTACAAAGCCCAGGAATAGCAGTTATGACATAGAAGGCCCCAAATGGGATACTTAAGATAAGATGAAATGTTGGAGCTGACTGTCATCACCTGCTAGCTCTCCTCACCTCTTTTGTGGAGAGAGTGACATTGAAAGCCCCAGCTGCAAAATGAGCGAAGGATGCAGATCTAAAGAAGTATTCGGAGATTCCAATGTAGAGCATAGAGTCGCTGCGTTCTGGGAGCACAAAAGGCACTGGGGAGAAGGGCGGGTCGGTGAGGTTTTCCAGTGGATAGAATACGCCCTGTGGGAAAAGAGAGAGAAGCCAGTGTGTTAGCTGAAGGCTCAAATATGCAGGACACAAGAAGGTGGACCCTCTCAGGTCAGAATAAGAAAAATGGTGGAAACTCAGTAGGGAAGAAAAAAATGACAAGGCCTTCTGACTTTTTGACTAGTGACCATGTTTCAAAGCTCTGACGGCTTCTTGAGCATACATCTGGGTATGTCTGTCCACTCTGGGGTGTAACCTAGTGAGAAGTTCCTTGTCGGTCCTCTTCTCCAGGAAAGAAAGGCAGGTGCATTTAGCTGGAGGTGAGAGCTCTGAATACTTCCTGAGGTGCCAGGTAGAGATGTCAAACCTCTGACCTTCGAACCCTGTGATTGCCGAGTGTCTGGGGTATCACAGAAAGACTCAGGAGGCTCCAGAACTCTATATGATTTAAAGCATTCAACAAATATTTATTGAGTGGGACTGAGTGGAAGACGGCACCTGCATCACGTGTTCATGAATGCACCATGGGTTTCAGACGTCTAGGAGAAAATCCAAGGCATTTCTAATGGCCCTCATTAGCTATCCGTTGTCTTGTGTAATGTTTAACTAATCTGAATGACTCTGAGTGATTGAAATATAAGCCAATATACATTTTTTTTAAAAAACAATGATATTAACTTTGGGGCAAAACAACACTTTTCCAGAATCAGCAAACACCACTTTCATTTGCTAATAGCCTCCGTAGTGGTCAGCAGCTCGGAAGTTAAATGCACCAATCTGAGAGGAACAGAAGTACTAATATGTACAATTGCTGATGTGGTAAGTTCTCATAATTGTAGACCACTCACTGGCTACCTCCTAGCTCACACCTACTCCCAGAGGCAAAGGTATCATGAGACCTTCTTGAAGAAGACAGACGTGACTTGTGCAATCCAAACAATTGTTTACCGATCAAGGAAATGTTCAAAGAGTCTTTCGAAAGAGCATACACATCAGGGACTGTTTCAAAGGTAATGAAATTGTTTGAGGAGCATGTAGGTATGTTTCCTCCGCACGTATTTGTTCCCTGAATACAGTTGGCCCTCTGTATCCTTAGGCTCCGCTTCAACCAACCGCAGATAAAAATATTTGAAAAAAGTTACATTGCTGCTGACGGGCACTGTGGAGTTAGGCCTACGACGGTTGTGTCATACCGAGCATGTACATTTTCTTTTAACAACCATCTAAGTAGCATTTCTATTGTATTAGGTTATAAAAGTAATCTAGAAATGATTTAAAGTATACAGGAGGATGTGCCTAGGTTAATTGCAAACACCATGCCATTTATTTAAGGGAACTGAGTATGAAAGATTTTGGTCTGGGAAGGTGTCCTGGAACCTATCCCTGGAGGACACAGAGGGGCGCTTGTCTTGGCTGCTGGTAGCCAGGATGAGAACGCTGATGAGGATGATAAAGTTACCTTCAAATTCAGGTCAATGTAGTTCTCAGTAATTTCTGGAGAACTCATTAGCGAATAATCCAGCAGGGTATAGTTGTCAATCTTGGTTAAAACTAAAACAGATAAGGCAAAAAGAAAATTTACATTCATTAAAAGCATAACATATGATTAATGTATATCAAGAACAAATTTTTAAAAATTAAAAAATTTTTAATTGTTATTGTCTAAAAGAATAATTACCCTATTTCATAAGTAATACACGTTCTTATTTATTTATTTATTTATTTATTTAATAGTTGACATTCAATATTATATTAGTTTTAGGGCATGCTCACTTTTTAAGACCCAGGAAAAGTAAGTCAAAAGAAGAAAGTAAAAACCCTTTTAAATCACATTATAGAGAAACATAATATTTTGATATATACCCTTTTTATTGCTCTCTGTCTCTCTCTTTCTCAATGTACATACATTCTTTTTAAAGAAGGAATTAGACAAACAAGTCACTTGTCAACATTAAGCCATATATTGAGAGACTTTCACGTTCTATGTTAAAGCCTCCTAGGTAGTTAGAATTTATTTTTTTCACAAAGTATTTCTAATTACAAGCAGGCATTACTGTTGTAATTAGAAATACTTTTTAAAAAGAAATATCAGGAAAGACAGAGAGACAGGAGTAAAATCCACTAAGTTGGAGAGGCCAAGGACATTCTCAGGCACAGTGCTACTGATTCACGTCCTTTTTGTACTATCATTTTCAGAGCTAAGTGAAAGGCCGGGCAGGGGGTCTGGGGCCAGGAACAGCGGGCGAGGCTTGCAGGAAGCATGGACTTCAGTGTGCGGTGGTGCGGTGCTCACTTCCCGCCCTGGCCTGGGAGCTGCTTTTCCAACCACCACCGAGTGCTTTGCAACAGGAAGTCTTCCTCCCTAGAGGAAGGCCCATGAGCACCACAATTTCTCTTCCTACACGTCACAGTTGGTGTATTCCATAGATGGAAATGCAAAGGAAGAAGAGATGAAGCCATTTGCCAAGGCGAGGGGCAATACTACTCTATGACACCATAGTTTTAAATCTTTTCCAATTCACAGTCTCCACAGACCCACCATCACACTGTGAGGGAAGCAGGACTGTGAGGGGAGTGTAGCTCCCAGAGGTAAAGAAACTTGCCCAACGCAAACTAGGGCATCCCCCACCAGTTCTTTCTTCACTCCTTCTTTCCCTGCCTCCCAACCCATTCATTTGCTTTCATCCACATGGATCCCTTCATTAATCCAATATTTATTAACTTAGTGTGGCTTCGGCGCTGCGCCTGGTGCTGGGAACAGAGATGAGTCACAGTCCCTGCCCTCCTGGAGCTCATAGTCTGGTGGAGGAGACAGACATGTAAATGGGAAATCAGAAGACAGTGTAGTAAGAGCAGATCTAAAACTGAGCTCTTGATGCTTCTCCTACAAACCTATTCTCACAGTCTTTCCCATTTGGGTAAATGGCAATTCCCTTCTTCCAATAATAGATTTTGGTTGCTCAGGGGAAAAACCTGGGGTCAACCTCGACACCCCTCATGACCTGCATTCTTCATGTCAGCAAATGCCACTGACTGCATCCCTCCACCTGCAAGCTGCATCCAGGACCTGAATGTGCCTTGCCTTCTTCATCTAGGCTCAGGGGACTCAGTAGCCTCTTGGGTGGTCTCCCTGTTTTCATCTTTGCCCCCCCCACTCCTGTCTATTATTTATCCACAGAAGTTGGAGTGATATTCTTAAAATATAGATGAAATCATGCAAGCCTTGCTCAGAACTCTCCAAATGCGTCCCAGTGACCCATCTACCCATCTGTTTTCTCCTCCCTGACCTCATCTCCTGCTGTCCCCTCACCCCCACAACCTCTGCCTTCCTCTGCGCCCAAAATGGCCTCCTCACAGTTCCTCTAGCACACCTGCTTCAGGACCTGTGAGCTTGCCGTTTCTTCTACTTGAAATGTTCTTTGCTCAGATCTAGGAGGGGCTCACCCCCCACTTCATTCGGATTCATACTCTATGTTCTTTTCTCAGGATCTAGAATGGAAACCCAAGCCACACGTCTAAAATGAAAACCACTCCCCAGCTGCTTCCCTGCTTTACTTTTCTTCTCATCACCCATCACTAGGATGCCATGGATTTTACTTATCATCTTGCTTGCTGTCTGTCTCCTCCCACTAATCCCACGAGGGCAGGGATTTCTGTTTCCGAGCCTGATTGCTGCATTCCAGCACCAAGAGCAGCACCTGGCTTGTACCACTGGTGAATGAATGGGTGGATGAATGAATGAATGAAAGAGAGACACTTTCAAAGTATCATGTGAGTTCAGAGGAGGCGGAACGTTGGGGTGTGGACATCAGGTAAGGTTTCTTGGAAGAGACTCTGCCTGAGCTGAGGATAAAGAGGAGTGAACAAGACAAGGGATGGCTGAGGGGTAGCGAGTGGAAGGGACTGCATCCCTCACCACTTAGCACAGTGTTGGCAGGGAAATAGGCACTGACACATGTCTACTAAATGAATGAATGGGTGGAGGGAGAGGAAGCTTTTCTAGGCAGGGCAGACGCCATGAGCAAAGGCAAGAGGTGTGGGGTCAGGAAAGGCAGTTTGATTGCTGGAGCAGAGAAAGGTGCAAGATGAACAGAGAGAAGTCGGAGCCAGAGCCTGGCGGGTGGGTCTTGCAGTCCACGTTAAAGCATTTGGACTTGATCCTGAAGGCGGCGAGGAGCCGATGAAGGGGAAAACCTGGCCCAGATCAGCATTAACCATTCTGAAGAGGATGCATTTCGTGCAGAGCTGGGGTTAAAGCTCCCGAGAGTTCAATTCTCTGAACTGTATCTGGTCTCCCGAAGCCACCCCCTCCTGCAGAGAAGCAGGCCCCATACACAGGCTGTGCCCCTCCAGCCCCCCACCTTCCTGAGGCTCTAGTTTGCAAAGTGGAAAGCAGACTGAAGAGGCGGAGCTGTGTTGTGTGGAAAAGCAAACCTGGAGCGCACCAGAGTGGGAAGGTGGGGAAAAAACCATCCAGAAGAGACAGTTCAGAGACTCACCCTCCAGCATGCTGAGATTGGCATTCAGTGCTTCCACCTCTCCTGTGATAATGGGACAGAGCTGGCCATAAAAGGAATTTGAAAAAAATGCATGTTATCATATTATACTGGAAACCTCTATTTATGGGTTAGACCCTGCAAGCAAAAGACTATGAGGCAGTCTCCCTTTGGCCATCAGGTCTTTTAAATTAGTTGATGTCTACGTATATATATGGGTGGCAAGCCATTGAATGCTGACTAAGCTTCACAGCCGCGGGGACTCCACCCAGGGAGGCCATAAAAGAATGAGCCACTGCCTCCTCTTCCTGTGCATGACAAGACATGCTCCCCGGCCCAGGCTAGAGATGTCCCACCTGAGGAACCTGTATGCCATTCCCCTGCTCTGTCATCTGCCCTGCTGCTGGGAGTGGTCACAGCTGGGGCTTTTACTTCCCCGCTGGGCTGGTTCAACAGCCCATTAGATCAGGCATCTACTTCCATCAGAACCTAGATTGGAATTAGAAAATAAACCTTGAGTCAGACTCAAGCACATCTGGAGGAAGAAGTAAGGACATCGATGGACGGGCTGTATGCCAGGCGTCGGCTAAACACTCAGGGTGGTGGTTACTAGCAGAGGCTGGGGAGGTGGGCTACCTGGGTTGAATCCCTTGGTAAGTTACCTGTACTCTCTGTCCTCAATTTTACTCATCTGCAAAATTGGAGTGACAATTGTGTCAATTCAATTGGCTGTTGTTTTAACCCCATTTCATCCTCACTTTAGCTCTGGGAGGTAAGCCCTACTGTCCCCTATTTATGAATGGGAAACTGTAGAAGGGAGGTTGACAGAGTCACCAGGCATCACATGAAAGCTAGATGACTGTGGACTGAATATTCTCTTCATTTGCCAGTGGCTCAGAGGGAATACTAGAGCCAAAGCATCTATGATTTCTAAGTTGTATGTACACTCAGGGAAAACTTAACTGTTGGCCTAGAACCATGCCTTGTTCTGAACAAAGGAATGGCCAACTGTGAGGTCCTTGAAGGAGGCGGCACTATTTCCCAGTCGCTCTTTAATATCCACTGGCCCCTGTCAGGTAAGATGGAGAAAGACTGAGAAGCCTCAGAGTCCCTTGATGAGCCAGCAACTTCACTGGACAGGCTGCTTACTATTTCTACTTGTTGATTTCCTCGCTGACATTCATTAAGCACTGAGTTGAGCATGAGGGGGAGGAGATAGCCAGACATTGTCCTTACCCCTTTTTCAGAAAGGAGTCTCCCTACGTTCCCACTCCTCCTCATCTCTCTCTCTGTCTCCCACAAAATACAGGTTAAGGGTTCAGAGAAGGTGTGGTCAGGATTGGAAAGAGGGCACAGAGCCAATCCCGTCTTTCCCCTTCCTCAAACTTGAACTTCTACTTGTAGCTTTGGAAGCCATCTTAAGTCACATTGTTTCTACTGGCTGGAAATATCCTACCTTCTTTCCCATTCCTTACCTATCCAGATCCTACCTATATTTCAAGTCCTGAATCCTCTAACAATGTCTCCCAGGATACTTCCAGGATCTATTTATTTAATTTTCCCCATTTCTCTGAACCTCTTCAGTTCAATCTAATGATCATATAAGTATGTCCTAACTTCACATCCTCATTCAGTTATTGTTTCCCAAGCCTGACTCTGGTTTTCCTAAAAAAGATGATAAGGTTACTTCTTTTTCATATCCCAACAGATGCTAGCCTACTGCTTGGCATGCAGTGGGTACACAATAAATAAATTCTTGTTGATTGTTTGGCATGAACTTAAGGGAATTCTATAGAATGATGTGTGTGAAAAAGCCTTGGATGGTGCCTAGCACACAGTAGGTGCTCAATCAAGGTTTATTGTCCAAGAATTAATTCAAGCATGGCAGAACTGCTGCTGATGGCATTTGACCATGGCTGTAAAACCTCTAAAGACTTACCATTTCATTTAAGTTCTTTAAAATGGGTTTCTCCATGGGCTCAGCAAAGGAGTTATACAGGACACTGGAGAAAAAAGGAAGAAGAAGAAGAAAAAAAAGGCTTAATCAGGGGCTGTACCTGTTGGGTTATTAACCTTTCCTACATGCTGCCCGGGAATCCAGACAGCCCCCAACTAGCCACTGTCCACCAGGGCCCTCTCCCTCACCTGAGTTCTCCAGAGAATGAGACGTGGGCGTGGCTCACTTGGGCATGGCAGTCTTGGAGTTCCACAGTTGGTTGACCAAAGTCATTTCGGGCTAGGTTAAGAATACCCGTGAAGTAGACCCCAGAGAGAAATAAATCAGCTCCTCCTGAGTCTTGGCTGTTGAGAGAAAAAGTGCAAGGTTACCCAGGCCTCGGCAGGGGAGAAGCTGGCTCAGTTCTCGATCCATGGACTCTGAGCTCCTGGAGGGCAGGACCTTTGTCACCTCTGGATTCCTGGCACCTACTACAGGTAGGATCAGAGCAGGTGCTGAATGAGTATTTGCTGAACAAATGAAGTAATGAATCATGGGAATGGTGACAGCTTTAGGGACCTTGCAGTTATTTCATCCTCAGTGCCCTGGCCCCACCCCAGTGGTTGAGCACATACTGAGAGCACCATTCATATACAATGCTTGTTTAGAGAGAGAACATGGTTAGGGGAGCGGGGGTTGGCCACATGTTATGTAGGAGGGGCATGGATGGGGAAGGGACACTTAGTCTGTGAGCTCCTTGAGGGAGTAGAGTGTGTGTTACTCACGTCCATGTCCCCAGGACTTAGCTGGTGGCCTGATGCAAAATAAGTACGCAATGTAAAGCTGATGACTCAGCAAAGACAAGGATAACAAGAATAAATACGTGAATCCATGCTACTTATAGGAGGATGTGTCATTTCTCCCCAGTCCATAACAGTTCTTGGAGTTCTTGAAATGGGAATAAATGATAGACAGTAGGCACTCAGTAAGTGCTTGTTAAATGACCAAGTGGGAGAATGAATGTGTTATTCTGGAGCACCAACTGAGGCAGACCTAAACATTATACCTAGGAGAGTGACTTGCATTATCGATAGTAGGTGGTCTGTAAGCATACCCAGAATTTGATCCCTTTTGTTAGGGGCGAGCTGAGCTCAAGCTATCATCCTACCAACCTCCCTGTGATAGGAAGGCTCCAACCTGCCTGTGAGGTAGGAAGGCCCCACAGATGGCAAAGTGTGTTCAATGACTGGCTGAGATCATCCAGTGACCAATGAGGCATCTCAAACATTGAGCACATGTCCGTTGCTCCCACTGCCTTCCAGCTCTTAGGAAATCATGAAGGACTTTTAGACCAGTTACTCTGTCTTTCTAGTTGAGATGATTTTCAGCCCTTCCCCTCTCATGCCCAGCAGAGATATTCTGATTTAATTTTATCCTGAAAAATGCTCTTGAAAAGAAGTGTTAATGGCTGAGGAAAGAAGCCTAATGTCAAAAACATTAGCACATTTCTACACGTTGGATTTCTGCTCCATTTCCCTCCAGAACGGCAGCAGGCTTTTTAGGGGATACTCACAAAAGTGGAGACTTGACTTCCCAGTTTGTGCTGATGTTGGCTGTGCCATGGTTGGTCAGTGCCTTGATTCCCACCCCGGGCACAAAGGCTAATGATGTGTTGGGAAATGAAAAGGCATGGATTTTTATGCTGTAAAACAAGAGACAGGGGAGTTAGTGTGGCACATTGCTTAGTAAGGCAAAACCGGAAATGCAGTTGTAGAAATCGTGACTGTGAACTCCCATAGTGCAAGGAACCCCGGTCTGCAGGGGTGCCCTTGGGCACTGCCTTCTAATTACCTTCAAACTTTGGGCAGGAAGCTCCTATGACACAGTGAGGGGGGAAATGAGCAAGTTTGGAAGAAAATTTGCAAATAATCAATCTACATGTTTAACTTCTTTAAAGATAAAAAGAGGTACCTTGCCATCATACCTTTTCCTTTAGCTATTCCAGCATTTCTAAATAGGGGACATTAGTATTTTGGTTGGGACAACTAATTTTTTTGTAAAGAACTGTTATACACATTGCAGGATATTTGGCATATGTGCCAACCTAAATGACAGTAGTGCCCCACCCCCAAATCCATTGGGACAATCAAAAGGGTGTCTCCTCCTCTTCCCAAATACCCTCTATGTGGACACTGTCTTCCCCAGTTGAGAAACTTATTTTTAGAGTTTACTTCCCCTAAGGCTCTCTGATCTGTCAAACAGGCAACTAGGAGGCAGTGGGTTGCATGTAATCTACCTGGGTAGATGGCCACATGCATTATGATAGGTTATTGTTATGAATATCGACTGAATGATTACTCCCTGCCTGGCACTGTGGTGAGCACTTCACATAGATTAGCTCATTTTAACCCTCACAGTAATCCTATGAGGCTGTTGCTGTTTTTACAAACTGCAACTCAGAGATGAGAAGACAAGAAACTTGGCTGAAGTCACACATACGTGGTAGAACCAGATCTGGAAACCTTAGTCTGCCTTCAGACTGTTTTTACCCAGTAGGCTATGCCACTTCATTATTGTGCAAAGGGCACTTGACTTGGAGACAAGTTTTGTGCTGGTGGTGCAACCTTGGATACGACACGTCATCTTTTTCAGTTAATCACTCAGAGGAAGTGTAACAGACAGGTTACGAAGACAAAATGAGGCCACCTGCGCATCACTGTTGCATAGGAAGAAGGCGTTGTTGTGAGCTAAGATCAGGAAAATTGCAATACACAGTGTGATAGCTGATAAGAAATGGTTATTTTGCTGTCTCATCTACTTTGCATCCTTTTCTACTTATTACACAGCCTGAGACCCACTGTGGAAAGAGGAAATGTTGGAAATGTTTTCCTTTTGATACTATGGATCTTACCCATTCTTTGTAATGACTGTAGAGTATTCCAAGCTGTGGATGTATCATTAAAACAATAATGCCTTACTGGTGTCTATCAACAAGGGTGTTTCCAGTGTTTCTGTATTGTAAACAAGACCACCCTGAAAATCCCCAGACATGCAGTTAATGTACGTGTTTCTCTATGGAAGCTGCCAAGAAGCAGAATTGGGTCAAAGGGCATGACTAAAAAAAGGCCGCTGGCCCTAGCCAGTTTGGTTCAGTGAATAGAGCATCAGCCTGAGGACCAAAGGGTCCTGGTTCGATTCTGGTTAAAGGCACATAACTCAGTTGCAGACTCCTCCCCAGCCTGGACCCTGATCAAGGTTCATTCAGGAGGCAACCAATCGATGTGTTCCTCTCACATAGATGATTCTCTCTCTTTCCCTCTCTCTTCCACCCTTTCTAAAAATCAATGGAAAAATATCCTTGGGTGAGGATGAACAACAACAACAACAAAAAGGACCCTGTATATCTGTCTAGAAAAAATATGACGCGAGCCACATATGTAATTTAAAATATTCCAGTAATCACATTAAAAAAAGAGAAAATAAAAGAGAGTAATTTTATCATTTTTAACCCAACACATCTAAAATATCATTTCAATGTGTAACCAATATAAAAAGTATTAATGCAATATATTTTCCTTTTTCTAAAATAAGTCTTCAAAATATAGTACATATTTTATACTCATGATACACCTCAATTTAAACACTGAATTTTCATTAGAAATACTGACCTGTATTTTGATGGCATAAAATTTTCAACTGAAAAAAGTAAACTTACAACTTGTCCCAAGCATACTTAAAAGTTTTCGAATAACTGAATCAGGTATTGGTTTTTAAATTAAAATTAAATAAACTTTGAATTAAGTCATATTTCAATTGCCCAATAGCACATGTGGCTAGTGGCTATTTGTTTGGACAGCATAAGTCTAACATTCCTGTACCAGCTTATCTATTCCCATCGGCAGGTCACGAGCATTCCAGTTCCTCCTCATTTTCATGTACCCTCATTTGAGGTTATATGATTCACCTTGGATTTTTCTGCTGTGGCATTCCTATCATTGCACTTAAATAATCAATCTTTTAAAAATATCTTACAATTTTTCAATTACATTTCAATAAAGCTGAAAAATATATAGAATTCCCCTCAAATTACTTAAATAATTACTCTTTAAAATTTTTTTAAAAATATATTTTTATTGATTTCAGAGAGGAAGGGAGAGGGAGAGAGAAACAGAAACATCAATGATGAGAGAGAATCAAAATCGGCTCCCTCCTGCACGCCCCTTTCTGGGGATTGAGCCCAAAACCCAGGCTGTGCCTTTGATAAAAAATGAACCCATAATCCTTTAGTCTGCAGATCGTTAGGCAATAATTAATCCTATAAATACATATTTAACGTCCATCTCTCTCACTGGACATCAAGGGCAGAGGCTTTATCCGTGTCATTCACTATAATATCTCCTCTGCCTAGAATAACGCCTTAGTACATAGTAGATGCTCAAAAAACACTTGTTGAATGGCTGGCTTTATCACAGAGTAGAGCATTTGCCAGGAACTTTCCCTAGAACATCCCCCTCTTCCTTCACAAAAAATTCTTGGTTTTATAGAATGTCATCCTTCATAGCAGGAAAATTACTCCTCTAAAGGGTTAGGGTAGCAGGGTATTATCATTGAATTGACAAAGGATTGTAGGTGGGACAGCTTTGCATGAAGCCAGTGGAAGAAACTGGTATTGCTCCAGAGGAGGAAAGGCCAAAAGAGCAAGAGGGCATGTGCCCTGTGACCTCTGAAATCGTGATTAAACTTTAAGAAAATAAGAGAACATTTGATGAGAGTAGTTTATTCTTGAGGCTGTGGTTGAATTCTGCTTCTAGGTTTATGAGGGTGAGGGTAGCAATGGAATGAGTAAGAATTTCCTTTAGAATGCGAGGGACAAGGTAGCTACAGCTGACAACTGTGTTGAATTAGTGTTCTCATTTTAGGAGAGAAACAAGGACATAAAGACACTCAGAGGCTGAGCAGATTCACCAGGTGCACAAAACTAGTATGCAGCAGAGACATGACCTGGACCCAGGTGTTCTGACCCAAATGCCACACTTTTTTGTCAACTTCATGACCCTTTTTTCTCTTGTCATTTTCTGATAAGCCTTTCACCAAAGGTTGATTAACTTCTACTCTGCAGAGCCTGACGTTACAGCAGAACAAGTGTTGGTATATCCACAACCCTAGAGTTTAAAGATGAATTTCACTGCAAACATCACTCTTTTACTTACTTTGAGAAATTGTAGTTCACATAATCAACCTTCAGAAATTCAAGAGATTCAGAACCATTTAAATCTGGAAGATTTCTTTCTTTGGCCATTTGCTCAATCATCTCCATCCCAGCTTGAACGCCTGTGAAAGAACCAAAGAAAATGAAATTTATTGGATAAGCATACTCCTAGATACTTACAAACAGCAATCTTACAAGGTGGGTATTATTACCCCTGCTTTACATATGAAACATTGGTTCTCAGAGGGGCTAATAAAATTGCTCCAAACCCCAGAGCTAATAGCATGAGAGATTTTCTTTATTTGGCCAGGGCCAAAGAATGTTATCACAGGACAGTATGATAGGAAAAGTATAAGATATGATCATTATCCACATTTTACTGATGATGAAACTGAACCTCAAATAGGTTAATCCTTGCCTAGGTCACCCAGCAAAGAACTGTGGGGCCCAATAGTCAAATATGGGCAATATGGCTCCAGAATCTATGCCTTATTTTAGCCAGTTCCAGTAAATCATTCCCCCCAGCTCTAGATTTTTTTAAGCTCAGGAATTTTTGGCCTGAAATCTATGGGCCTTTGGGAACTTTTGGACTTCTTGAAATTCTAATAAAAGACTGTGATTGGTTATGCATGTGCCTACGGGGGTGGGCAAAGGTAGGTTTACAGTGTTTCATATGGAAAATAATTAATAAATAAGAATCCTATATAATAAAAGCCTAACATGCTAAGTGTCCGGTCGTCCAGTCATCTGTTCAACTAATCAAAGTATAATATGCTAATGATATGCTAAGGCCACTCAACTGCTCACTCAGATGTACACTGACCACCAGGAGGGCAGACACTCTGACTGGTAGGTTAGCTTCCTGCTGGAGTCCAAGTGATCGGGACTGAGCAAGACAGGCCTGACACAACCTGGAGCTCTCCCATGGACCCTCCTTGGCTGGCCAACCTCCCGTGTCCCTGATCTTGCACCTGTGGTGTCCCTCAGACTGGTATGTTCCTTCTTGCAATCTGAGAACCCTCGGGGGTTGTTGGAGAGCTGGTTTCAGCAATATCCTGCTCAACGCAGGAGCTGACCTCTGGTGGTCAGTGCACTCCCACAGGGGGAGTGCTGCTCAGCCAGGAGCAGCGGTGTAGGGCCAGCTGGTGATCACCCCACAGAGCGAGGCCCAAACCAGCCAAGTGATTGCACCCCACGCCTGTTGCCTGCAGAGATGGCAAGCAGTGACAGTAATGGGGGGCAGGGGCAGGACCAGCTGCCGGCAGCCAGGGGAAGGAAAGCCCCAATAGGCCCTGATATCTGGCCAGGCCTAGGGACCCTACCTAAGGGGTCCTGGATGGTGAGAGGGAGTAGGCCAGGCTGAGGGGCACCTCCCTCCCCCATGCACAAATTTTGTGCACTGGCCCTCTAGTATAAGAATAAACAAGCCCAGGAGATCATGATTGAACCTCTACCTATGAACCAGGAGATCACAGTTCGATTCTTGGTGAGGGCACATGCCTGTGTTGTGGGCTTGATCCTTATAGGAGGTATGTAGGAAGCAACTGATTGATGATGCTCTGTCATCATTGACATTTCTATTCTCTCTCCCTTCCTTTCTGAAATTAGTAAAAATACCTTTTAAAAATAATACACTGTGTTTCACATACTCTCAACTATAAACCTACTTTTACCCACCCTATATGTATCTCATTTTTCAGGGAAGAGGGTCCACATTTTCATCACATTCTCAAAGAATCCCAGGACTCCAAAAAGGTTGGAAACCACTGCTTTTTATTTGGGAACAGACTTGTCTTATATGGTAGCACCTCAGAACACATTCCTCTGAGTTCAGGGAGAAAAAGAGGTTGCTTCCCATTAAAGAGCTTGAGAAAAGTAACTTATACAGTAATGAAGAGTGAACTTTTCGTCTTAACCTTGCGAAGGAGGAAGCTTTGCCTTTATTCCTTACTTTGTAGCTTCAGCTCCTTTCCACTTATTCTATCCTTGTTGGACATGAAGGAGGAAAGAGTTTGTCCTCTATAATACTGTGAATAATATTGCAATACAGGGATGTAAAGATTGATTGTAAGGATGGAAAGATGGAACCAAAGGCACTATCAGAGAGGTTTGGCGTAATCCCAACACTGCCACTTACCAGTCTGTGTGTCACTGCAAGTTATAAAATCTGTTTATCCCGAACTTTCTTCATCTGTAAATGGGACCTTAGTGCATATCAACCTTCATCTAGCTAATCTTAGGCCAACATTTACAGTGAGAATAGGCCCATAGATGTTGATTTTGCAGTTTCTTTCTTCTACATAATCTGTCTTTATCCTAATTTAGCTCTAAGAAAGTCTCAGTCCAACACTTTCTTCTGCTTGTTCTTAATCTTTCAGACTCCTTTGTGCCTCTAATAAATGTACAGAGCCTCCCTCAAGAAAAATGCATGATCATCATCCCCATTAAATTTTACACACACAGTTTTAGAAAACTATTTCTTTTGGAATCAAACCATTTCTGAAACTGTAAGTTATTACTTTTACTACAAATCTCATCCTCTCTATCCTATAATGAATTCTCTGAGATGTTCATTTTGTGTGTGTGTGTGTGTGTGTGTGTGTGTGAGAGAGAGAGAGAGAGAGAGAGAGAGAGAGAGAGAGAGAGAGAGAGAGAGAGAGAATATCTGTGGCAGTGTTTGGATATGCCAACTGTTAAGGTCATTATTTTTTTAGGCAACTCTTTCTTCTCAGCTATCTTAGCAGCTTCTGCATAAGGTCTAGATAATCTCATAGCAAAGGTTGTCTCAGTCATGACACAGTTCTCTATGAACTTCTGGTTTTGGGTCACAGACTCTACCTAGGGAGGCTGCATCCTGGCTTCTGAAAGCATCCAACTCACCATAGTCCAGAGCCCTCTGAGTAGCCCTTGCCTTGATTCCAGGGTGTGTGATCCAGGCAGATGAGATGTAGACATTCCACAGGAGAAAACATCCCCAAAGGACTTGGACCATCATTGTACACATCTGCAATTAACCAACATTTATGGCTCCTTTATTATTCTTGACTTTCTCATTGGTCAATTCCACCCAGCATTTCTAGGCTTTCTCATTTTCATTGTTCACTTCCAGGACTACCGCACATCTAACCACTCAGTAATATTTTTTTTAAACACACCAGAATATTTTCTAAATGCTGAGGATCTATAGATGATCCATGTGCGTGGCCCCTGACCTCTGCTTCCCATAGACTAGTGGTGAGTCACATACACCCACGAGCGTGCGCGCGCACACACACACACACACACACACACACACACACGATTATAACATAATACAGGATGATGCAATGCAATATAATACAAAAGCCTTTCAGTAAATGTAATAATTGGGATATGCCTTGGGGAGGATATTGGGGTGGGGGTCAAGATAGTTTTAGGATCTTCTAGGCCAGCTCCAATGTCCGCTCTGTGACAGCTTCCCTCACCATGTCATTTTGCACTGGGTTTACCACCATCTACCCTGTGCTCCCACCACACTTTGTACAATACATATGCATGCATGCATTGAACCACCATGAGCTTTCCAGCAGGCTCACCACTTCCACTGCAATACATTCAACCATCATTTCATGAATGTTTACGGTCAGCTCCTTACTGGTCTCTGCCTCCCTTGCCCTCTTCTGGCTATGTTCCACATCACAGCTGAGTAGGCCTCCTAAAATGAAGTCAGATCTTGTCACCTCAACCCCATAAAGCCTTTGAGTGGTTCTCCATCTTATTCAGCATAAAAGCCAGAGCCCTTCCACAAGCTGCAAGGCCATGCCCTACTCCATACCTCTACCTCCTCATTGAGCTCCTTCCTTAACACAGTTGTCTGGCTCACCTGTCCCCAGCCTCACGGGCTGACTTTATCTTTCTTGAACACTCAATGGGACCTGTATCCTCGGATTTTTGCACTTGTTGTTCTGCCTGGTAGAGTCACCACCACACAGGTAACCACATGGCTGTCTTCACTTTCTTCAGGTATCTCAGGTATTACCTCACTGAAGCCTTTCCCAACCACTCTACACAAAACAAGGATCGTTATCTCCCCTTACCACCCAAGAACCTGATATTCCCTATGCCCCTCCTTGCTATATTTTTCTCCAGACACGTATCATCATCTAGCATAGTCTATAGTAACTCATTTGTTCATTGCCTGTCTCACCTGCAGAAATTTTTAGATTTCATGGGGGGAAGAATTGCATCACTTCAGCACCTTGAACAGCGACTGGCACACAGTAGGTGAAGGGTAAATACTGAATGGTTGATTGATGGATTGAATGAATGTCTCTTCCTGGAGACTGTAAAGTGGGCCATATTAGCCTTCTAAGTTCCCACAGCACTTGGAGCAGTCCCTGATCTTGATATGCACCATCCTGTATTCTGATTGTCTTTGTCCCTTCATCACAGGCACTGTCTTACTTTTATATCTCCAAAGTCTGGTATGATGCCTGGCACATGGTAGATACACCAAAAAAAAATCTTATTAAACATCTTTAAGGAGAGAGACCACATCTTCTTCATTGTTATCCTGCTTGTCCTTGGCATATATTAAACGTTCAATGCATACTTGTTGAATTAATGGACTCAGTGAATTAATGCCTCCCCATTTTCTTGATGAATGGAGCACAGGTACCAACAGAAAGTGTCATGGGTTTATTTTAATGACAGCCAAGTGAGTAATACATTCACAAGCCTTATTTATAGTTCTAGGAGTTTATAATCTCGGTAAGTTATCATTGCTGCACTCATACATGCCAAAGACCTATAGGTGACAGAGGCCCACTGAGTTAACATACAAATATGAAATAGATCAGAGAAACATTTGAGGGGGTAGTCAAAGAAGAGGAAGTTGTGGGAGCCATTTAGACAGAGGGAGGGGTAGGACAGGAAAGGATTCAAAAGGGGTTCTAAAGCAATCTGGATGAAGGAAAAGGTGTTACTGTAAGAGGTGTGTGTGTGTGTGGTACATGGCCAACGTAAGTGAAAGCTATGATAAAGGGGCTTGTGTGGGCTTATGGGTAAGGCCATAGAAGTGGGAATAGGGGTGGCACAGACAAAATGATTTATTTGAAAGGAATAGAGCAGTTTGGCCAGTATGATGTGTTAGCCCGACAGAGTTGGTTTGGGTAATAGAGGACAATTTACAGAAAGAACCTGGGCAGCAATGCCAGGGGCAGAGCTAAGGAGGGGTGGCTGAAGGACGATATGGGTGCAGAACACACTAATGAAAGCACAGAGGAAAGAGACTGAGAGCTAAGGGGAAGGGACTTGAGAAGGAGAGGAGGGTCTCTGGCCCAGAAATGAGTGACCTGAGGGCTGGAAGAAATGTAAGGAGTGGGTAAGCAAGTGTGAACTCTTCCACATTCTGGGAGGCACATCTTATACTCAGAAGGGACTCAGGAGCTAGGTCCAATTGCCATCTGTGCTAGGCCTTTCTTAATCCTTCAGTTGACCTGGGGGATAGCAGAGATGAATGGGACTATGGGAGTAAGCAAAACACTCCTGGGGCTTAGGCTTATGGTTATTCATCAACTGGTATGGAAGTGTTTCTACATTTTAACAAAAGATGAGATCATATGAATGTGTAGTCATGCTAATATCTGTAGGAAAAGAACTATAAATGGATGTGTCATGCCAAGGCAGGCATAAGACAAATTTTTCAAAAGAGGAAAACATTTTTCATAGCAGTGGAAAACAATGGGGGAAAATGTTAGATATATATATATATATATATATATATATATATATATATATATATATAAACATACCTATTAAACTGTGTGCAAATTAAGGTAGAAATGATATCTCTGCCTAGCACATAGTAGGAACTCAATACACATTTACTAACTGACCAACTGACTGAATTACAAGATCCAGATGAACTAAGAAAGGTTCTAGAACAGGATGAAAAAATGAGAAAACCAAACCATCATATAAATAGTTCTCCATTTCTACAGCGAAAAAGTATGATAAACTAAAGCAGAGATATTACTTGCTAAGAAGCTCAGAACAATGCTTTGAGGTGGATGCTATCTGACCTCTGTTTTGGACATGTGGACAGAGGCTTAGAGAGTCTGAATGACCTGTCTGAGGCCACAGAGTAAGTCAAGCACCTGGGAATCAAACCTTGTTCTTCTGGCTTTTACTTTTACTATTTAGATTTTTTTTTCTTCGTTTAATGACTTGATAAATGCTAGAATTTTAATTTTCACTTGGGAATTTTAAATAGGAGTTCCTTGATGCCATTGTCTTTGTGGAAAAAATAAATTAAGTGTCTGGAAAATTTTAAGCATCAAGCGCCAATCCTTTTGTCTTTCCTTGGGCATATTGAAAGTTGTTAATTCCCTCCCAGCAGCAAAAATCTGTTTCTCTTCTTAGTCAAAGCAAGTTTCTGAAACAGTTCACTTTGATAGAGATCCCAGACCTCAACATTGCATATGGAAAAACATATTTTTCCTCTAAAAATTTTATGAGTGAATGAAATTACTGGGCTATAAAGGGATGAATTGTATGTAATTTTCAGTTGAACTGTTTGGCTAGGAGGATAATTTATGGGCCGGAAAGGAACCTTGTGAAGTAAGGAGATGACTCCTAAAAGGTTAAGTCATTTGGCTGACAAGTAAGGGCAAGATGAGTAGCCTGTTACAAGAAGGGAGCCAAGATGACTTTAACACCCTGTCTGTCAAGTAACCTATCTTGTTGCTTCTGAGGATTGCTTCTTTTTAAGATTCAAAGCCTCGGAACCCATTACATTTCCATACCAACATATGGGCGGAATAACACTCCTAAATTAGATGGCCCTTGCCTGAGCCATTCTGATGACTAGAAATAAGAAAACTGGTAAAACTGAGAAAATTCCAGAGACAGATCAATTTGTCATTACCACTCATGGGGGAGAGCTTTGACAGACTTGAGTAACTGAATGAAATGTAGCTTTCAATATAGAGGCAAAGGTGGAAAAATTAAGTTCAATTGGTTTAAAGAAGTCTAGAGTAGAATAATATTCCAACCTAATGGTGAAGCCAAAAATGTATGTAAGAAATCAACAGGTACAGGATAGGGGAAGAACTGGAGAATATTTCAAGGGATTCAGCTCATGCATCTGACTTTTATCAAGATCTTTAATGACAAGGACCTTGAAATTTTACATGAAGTCTTTCTTCCACGAACTCCATACAAAACACAGACACCTTAAAACTTTCAGGCAGCCGAAACCGGTTTGGCTCAGTGGATGGAGCATCGGTCTGCAGATTGAAGGGTCCCAGGTTCAATTCCAGTCAAGGACATGTACCTTGGTTGTGGGCACATCCCCAGTAGGGGATGTGCAGGAGGCAGCTAATTGATGATTCTCTCTCATTGATGTTTCTAACTCTCTATCCTTCTCTCTTCCTCTCTGTAAAAAAATCAATAAAATACATTTAAACAAACAAACAAACAAAAATACTTTCAGACAAGTGGGAGGGTCGTTTGCTCTGGCAGGGCAGGGTCTAGGTTGCTGATGAAGACCTGGCCCCAAACAGAGAGGTCACAGCAGCTTCTTAATCCCAACCACACGGGTTAAGACACAATTAGACTTTTCTGCTACTGTGCTGGGTTCCCCATTGAAACGGAAGCAAAAAGAAGTCCAGACTCTTGAGCAAACCCTCTTAACACTCCTGAACGATACAAAACTGAACAATTCTCTTTTCTTCCTCAGAGCTGTTTACAGTCTTCTGGGTGAGTGTGAGTAACATATAAAGCAAATAAAACATAAAAACCCAGGCAGACAATAACTCAGAATACATGACAGCTTCCCCCTCAGGGTGACCGACCAGATCTGGGACCTCTCCAGTGGGAGGGTAATTCCCGTCCAGAGAGGTTGCCCTGGCAGAGACCCGAAGCTTGTTCACGATTCTTACCTTAAGCAGAGGAAGAGCCCAAAGCCGGGGAGCCCAAAGCCGATTCCCTCTGCCTTTGTAGTCGATGTGTTCTCCACTTGAG